TATATATATATATATATATATATATATATATATATGTATGTATGTATGTACATATATAGATACTATTATATTATACACATATATTTCTCGTGGCTTTTATCTCTCTATTCTCTAACTCAAAGTTTAACTTTATACTTGTAACTTTCCATTTATCCTTGAGTGGATACAATACAACTTCCAGAATTATCTTTGCTATAGATTTAAACGAAATATTTCCTATGACAAATATTTTACGAAATAAAGTTATTACACTGATATTTTATCTATAATTATTTTGCTTACAATATCAGTAAAAATCCTTAGATTTTTATTTATAATACACAACCCGTTGATCTATCAATATTCAATAATTCGACATGCAAAATACTATTACAACTAATAATAGCAATAATATAAATAATGATTTGTTTAATTAAAAAAAAAAAAAAAAAATTACAATAATCCTGCTGAATATTATGCAATTTAAAAAAGTACAATAAAGCAAGTTATATATTTGTATATTATTTGTACTAATCAGTTTCATCAATAGATCGTTAAATTGTTATATTAACGATATTTAATTATTTATTAAATTCAATAATTAATTGATGCACACAAATTTTTGAGAAGATATATGGGTGATTCTCTGTAAGGATGTTTTTTGCTGTCCCAGGTATTTTTTTATTAGAAAAATTGTTATTTTGTTACTAAAAAAAAATTTATTACGAAAGTAAAAAAACATTTCTATTTGGAGTATTGAAAACTAAAATGAAATAAATTTTGTTTTTGCTATAAATTCGTAAACCACCGAAATAACAGTCCCCTGGGCTGTCCCATTCCCAAAATTAAAACTTTAAGATTAAATTTTAAGTTATTTGTCAATAATATATGATTTGGTCTACAATGTTTATAAACAATTAGTTAACTAACAATCTTCTTCAATAAAAAGTACCGAAAATTAATTTGTTTCATTAAATTCATTAAACCAAAGTTTGTCCCAGGGATTTTAAGAACAGTCCTCTGCCAGAAGTTCAAAGCCAAAAAAAAATCCAGCGTGTTATTTTACCTTTTGTAAGGTTTATAAGGACCTAACTAGCCTTGAGTTAATAACCATAGGGCTGTTAGCGCTTTATCGCCATTTTATTTAGTGTCAAAGCACCGTTTGTGTTGGAAATATGTGTCTGGGCCATTTCGAAACTCAGTCCCTTGGCAGCTATTTTTATTTATAATTTATTTATGAAATTGGATCCATAAGTCTTAATATTATTCTAATTAATGTAAACATTAATTGAGAACTTGAAAAGTTGAATGCATTGAAATAGTTTGTTTGATTTTTCTCAATTTGATAAAAAAAAAAAACAGTCCCCTGTCATGTTATATAGCAAAAGATACACAAATATCGAAAAAGCAAAAATTAATTCGACTGTTTATTTATTATGATTAAGCTGATAGTTTTGTAGAGCCCCTGTTAATTATTTTTCTAACAAAATCAAAAATAATTTGGTCGGACAATTTTGTACAGATTTAAGACATCCTTACAGAGGATCACCCATATAAGTCAATATGAGATGGACATATAAAAATGAATTGTTTTTAAGTTTAATAGAATGATAATAAATAATTATATTCATACATAACTAAATAGCTAGAGTTTCTTTGATGAGTTTTTTCATAGTATTACCCATGGTTGTGCTCGGCGGACCAGAAGTTGTAAAAGACAATTTAAATAAATAAGGCTGAACATCTGGGTATGAGGTATCAAAAATGAGATCTAACTCTGCTTGATTCGGCATTTTCGGTAAATAATCATGACGATTCATAACTTCAGTAATATACAGTATTTTATCTGTCAATAAATCACCAACTTTTTCCCGACATATTTGTCTCTCGTGTTCGGTCGCTAATTTAATAAGCTCTAATCTAACAGTCCATACTTCCCATGGTATACACTCCGGTTGAAAAGGCCAACGATTTTTTTTCTTTTGAAAAAATTCCAATGATATTTGTCCAGAACCAGGACTATCTGTTGATCTCAACGCCTCGGAGAAACCAGATATTTCTCTCTTTAATGTTTGGTCAAGATGCACAGAAGAACAACATACATAGGTGAAATCAATAAAATCACAATCAACATCTTGATAGCCAAGGGTGCCCACAGAATAACTTCCTTCTTGTTTATATTTGAATTTGCCAAGACTACGATGAAATAACACACTGTGAAATATACTTGCAACGGCTTCATCAACTTGACGACCCTCCATGCTTAGTTCAAACAACTGAGTTCTTGCGTTCATACTGCACCCTGTAATTATATTATAAAAAAATCTATTAATTTTATCAGTATCACAATTATATTTAAATATTATATATAATTAATTACAGCAATAAATAAATAAATAAATTAATTAATTAAATAAACCTAACCTAATATAAATTAAAAACAAGTGTACACAAGTAAGAAGCCTTCAATTTGCTTACTCATTGCTCCATCCCCTGTATTATATATTACATATTACTTACCTCAATATGTCTCAACATAAATTCTAAACAAGTACCTTGTTCTTACAATGTTTACGTCATCATTTTTGTCGTCAAATGCATTTACAGCACTGAGATTAGACTTAACAAGATTAATTAATTTATTCTCTCATGTCTGATGTTTTATGTCATTTAATCTTATTTATTTCATTTTCAAACCAATGAACTATTATCATTTAGTTTTATGTAAACTAATTTTAGTATGTCTGTCTATAAAGATTAATTATCTCTGTCAATGAATAATAAAACCAGTAAAATGATATCAAGCCAATAGTTACAAAAATATTAACAACTAATGGTCAATGTATATGACATTCAAGTTAGCTGTCACTTAATAATTTTTTAATTTTATTTAACAAAAAAATTTGTTCCAAAAAATTATTTTTGAAAAATTGCATTTTTTATTTTTTTAAATTTCTAAATGTCAATTTTTTTTTTTTTTAATTTTTTTTTTGCCGTAATTTATTTGTTATAAAATTAAAAAAATTATTAAATATGTGCTACATTAATTTTCATTCAATGTATTTATGAACAGCAATTGAGTATGAATTATTGATACGAATATAAATGAGTATGAAGAATATAAAAAACTGACCTTAGTGTCCCTTTGGCCACACGTAGAACATTAACCTTAACGCTTCATAAAATAATATATCATGCGTTGTTCCTCTGGATCCTTTTATTGTTTTGAAGAAAAGTCAGGTCAGTTACTCGTTATTTTAATATTGAATATCATCGCTGACCTGCTTCTGATAGCTTTCCCCATCGATTTGTCTCTTTTATTTTATTATTTTACTGATCACACATTCACGTTGATGCTTTTGTTATTGTTGTTGTTATTATTGTGATTATTTTTATTATTGGTGTGATTATTATTATTTCTAGAACTGTTGTTGTTATTATTATTCGTTGGCTTACGGTGTTATATACTTTTGTAGATTAATTAACAGTTATTTTTAATGGATTACTTAAATTATTACTCCAAAGTTCCATTATCTTGAGTATTATTGTTATAACAATAGAACACACTGGTTTTTAAATGTTAACTAATAATAATTGTCGACAAATGGTGAACAAAAAAAAACTTAGAACCTTACTCACCAATCCAATCTGCTTTACAATGTTTCGTTTAGTTTCTTTGACACGCATTTGTCGGTAAACAACAGCTGAGCGCGCATCGCATCAGCCATTTTGAATTTTATACTTACTTTTTTTATTTTTTACATTTTTTACTAGGGTTTCAGTCGATAAAACAGTTTTAAATACTCAAAATATATAAAATTTTTTATAATAATAAAGTTTTTAATTTTTTTATTTTGCTTAATTTATTAAATTATAACTAAAAAATATTTTTAAAAAAATGCACTTATAGTTTTTGTAGTTTTTAAGAAGTGATAAAAATTTTTTTGTAACAATTCTATAACAATTAATTTAGCAGGTATTTAATAATTTTTAGAATTTTTTTTAACAAATAAATTATGGCGAAAAAATAATTTTAAAAAAATTGACATGTAAAAATTTTTAAAAATTAAAAATGCAATTTTTTTGAACAAATTTTTTTGTTAAAAAAAATTAAAAAATTCTCTAGTGTCTGCTAACTTTGATGTCATAATAATTCTTTAATAAAATAAATCATAAAATTTTTTAGATGTCGGCTAATTTAATTTTCATAATTTTTTGATGTTGATTTTTAGTAAAACAGAAACATTGAAAATACTTTTCAAGCGTTTTATAACAAAAAAAATTATGACAATTATCAATTATATTTTAAAATTTTATTTAAATACTACAAATACAACAGTATAAATAATATTTCATTCGTAACAATATTATAGAAATAGAGATCCATTAATTTTCGCAAATAAATTTCATGTTTTTAATTTTTTTTTAATAATTAAATTAGAACAAAAAAATATTTTTTTAAAAATTGCACTTACAGTTTTTAAAGTTTTTTAACAAAAATGAAAATGAAAAAAAATTTTTTAAATGTCGGCTAACTTAATTTTCATAAAATTAAGAGATATTTGATAATTTTTAGAATTTTTTAAACAAATAAACTGTAGCAAGGAAAATTAATCTCAAAAATTCCATAATTAAAGCTCTAAAAAATTATAAATGCAATTATTTTTAAATAATTTTCATGACCTACTTTATTTTTCAAAGAATTTTCAAGTATCGACTAGTATTTTAATTTTTTTTTTATAACAAAGAGAAAAGCTATTCAGTTACTAATATGAATGCGGATAAGCGATATCAGCAAATTGTTGACATGCCTCATCAATTTGTGGAAACGAATACTCGAAACCATACTCAAGTACTCGTTTAGGTATTACTTTTTGGCCTTCTGTCATGATCTAAAAAAAAAAAAAAAAAAAAAAAAAAACACAGTCATAAATCTCAAAATCTTTTCATCATTATAACTAGATATAGCTGATAAAATAAAAAACTGTGTATAGTTTATTTATAATCGAGATATTTACCCTGGCTCGCTCTGAACTAAAAATAAGATTAACTGCGAATTCTGGTAATGGAAGAAACGCCGGTCTCCACATTGCTCGGGCAAAAGCTCTAGCAAATTCTTTATTTGTTATGATCTAAAATATCAAATATTTGAAATTTATTAATGACAAGAATTTGTAACAAGCAAATAACATTTTAAAATACCTGAGGAGCAACGCCATTCAAAACACCCTTGACTTTTTCTTCTTCAATTGCAAAACGAAATAAATCAACTAAGTCACTTATATGAATCCAAGGCATAATTTGTTTCCCACTGCCAATAGGGCCACCGAGGCCCAAGAAAAAAGGCATTATTATTTGTTGAATCATGCCACCATATCTTCCCAACACGACACCAGATCTTATTGTGATCTGTCGACATGACGAACTCGGAGAAAGTTCTGCAGCTTTTTCCCAAGCATGTGTCAATTCTGCAAATAAAATTGTACAAATAGATACATTAAATAAAATTAAAAATAAAATACAAACGATAATAATCTATAAGGGTGATTCTCTGTAAGGATGTTTTTTGCTGTCCCAGGCATTTTTTTATTAGGAAAATTGTTATTTTGTTACTAAAAAAAATTTATTACGAAAGTAAAAAAACATTTCTATTTGGAGCAATGAAAACTAAAATGAAATAAATTTTTATTTTTTTGCTATAAATTCGTAAACCACCGAAATATCAGTCCCCTGGGCTGTCCCATTCCCAAAATTAAAACTTTAAGATTAAATTTTAAGTTATTTGTCAATAATATATAATTTGGTCTACAATGTTTATAAACAATTAGTTAACTAACAATCTTCTTCAATAAAAAGTACCGAAAATTAATTTGTTTCATTAAATTCATTAAACCAAAGTTTGTCCCAGGGATTTTAAGAACAGTCCTCTGCCAGAAGTTCAAAGCCAAAAAAAAATCCAGCGTGTTATTTTACCTTTTGTAAGGTTTATAAGGACCTAACTAGCCTTGAGTTAATAACCATAGGGCTGTTAGCGCTTTATCGCCATTTTATTTAGTGTCAAAGCACCGTTTGTGTTGGAAATATGTGTCTGGGCAATTTCGAAACTCAGTCCCTTGGCAGCTATTTTTATTTATAATTTATTTATGAAATTGGATCCATAAGTCTTAACATTATTCTAATTAATGTAAACATTAATTGAGAACTTGAAAAGTTGAATGCATTGAAATAGTTTGCTTGATTTTTCTCAATTTGATAAAAAAAAAAAAAAACAGTCCCCTGTCATGTTATATAGCAAAAGATACACAAATATCGAAAAAGCAAAAATTAATTCGACTGTTTATTTATTATGATTAAGCTGATAGTTTTGTAGCCCCTGTTAATTTTTTTTCTAATAAAATCAAAAATAATTTGGTCGGACAATTTTGTCCCAATTTAAGACGTCCTTACAGAGAATCACCCATAAGTATTCATATATTCACCTGATAAATAGTCATACGGCTCACATTTATCATACTCATTATATGTTTTACTATCATCAGGTTTATAATACGCGACTCCAGATATTGTGAGAAATGATTTAACATCAGATTTTTTATTGACAGCATTCGCTAGTAGTTTTGTTGTTCGAACTCGGCTATTCCATACGTCATTTTTAAATTCTTCATTCCACCGTTTCATTGGATCTAAAATATTTTGTCCAGAAACATTAATTACGTCTGTTGTGTCTTCAGGCAATCCTTTTATCGATAAAGTTTCCTAAAAAATCATTTTTTATTTCTATTTAAAAATCATTAAAATCAAGGAATGGTCGTCACATTCATAAAAAAAAATTTTTTTCAAGATTTAAATTTCCAAGTATTCAAACTTTTAAAAATACGACTACCATACAATTATTATTATTTGTTTTTAATAAAATTCACCCATGAAATATATTCAGGACCCGTTGTGTTTCGGGATAAAATGGAAACAGTATGGCCTTCATTTCTAAGTGAAAATGCAAGTGCTCTTCCAATGAAACCGGTACCACCACCTGAAATATATTTTTTAAAAATTACATAACCATTTGTTTTATTTTAATAAATGTGTAAATAAATACACACAATTAAATAATTAATAATTACTAGGATATTTTTAAGTGACTTACCAATAACCACGTGTCTTATCATGGTTTATTATCAAATTTACAAAAGACGAATGAATTATTATATACAATGACAACAACTGATTGCTATTTACTCCATAAATTTTATAAACAATTTTTTTTTTTTTTTTTTTTTTTTTTTTTTTCAGTCTTGAATAAATTATACTAAAACATTTAGTTTGCTGTTTGAACGCATTCTGATGGCGTTAGAGTACCTTTGATTTTATGGAGACTGAATACACGGTAAGTATAGTCTCCATAACCTTTACGTATATATAAATAAAAATGGCGTCAACACTAGAAAATCTAGAAGGTCAACTCGAATTATTTATTGAAAATGTACGACAAATACGTATTATTGTAAGTGATTTTCAACCTCAAGGACAGAATGTACTTAATCAGAAAATGTAAGTCAATAAAATACATTTTTTATAATTAATTTATCATTTTTAGACATCATCTATTTACACATTTAATATTGTTACGTCTTTTTCGTCATAGCAAATGCATCGAGTAATTGAATGTTTAAAAAATTTAATTATTATTGATTAAAAAAATAAGTGTACATTTATGATTAGTTCATAGTTGATTTGCATATTAAAAAATGAATTATTTTATATCATTAATTATTAATTATTAAATAATATTATAATAAAAAATAAAATTTGTTGTGACAGATGGCGTTTCAATAATTAAAACTGGCGCGGAAAATGAAAATTTATTTGAATGATTTTTTTTTAGTCAAACTTTGGTAAGCGGACTGCAAGAAATAGACAAACTAAAATCTCAGGTCCAAGATGTTCATGTGCCCTTGGAAGTATTTGAGTAAGTTAACTAACTGGTTTCATATCTTAAATTCTTAAAAACAAAATAAAATAAAATAAATACTACAAACCGGTTTAGTATTATTGATTATTAAGATAATAAATATCTGATTTTATTTTTATTTTATTGCACAGCTACATTGACCAAGGTAGAAATCCGCAACTTTATACAAAGGATTGTATCGAAAAGGCTTTAACGAAAAATGAACAAGTCAAGGGGAAGATTGATGCTTATAGAAAATTCAAGGCTAGATTGCTTGCTGAATTGAATCAAGTGTTTCCAAATGAACTTGCTAAATATCGTGCTATCCGTGGTGATGAGTAAAACTTATAATAATAATAATAATAATAATAATAATAATATATCCCAAGAGTGCTGATAATTTTAATACAATTTTTTTTCATTTAATTCAATGATTTTTTAAAACCAATATATGATTAATTTATAATATTGAAAATTAAAACAACTATCTGAATTAAATTACTGAACTAAAAAGTTTCAGGGTTAATATTTATTGTACAATTAAATATTGTAATTCATTTTTCTATTCTTTTTAAAATGAATTTACTTTCACAATAAACATTTTATAAATTATCAAAATTCTATAACAGCTATTTCATTGATTATAATTATAAAATAATACTTATGCTTTTTTTAAAAGTTCAATTTTATATTTTATTGAATAATTATTTTTCAAAAATCAATCTATTGAATCGTGGCTTATAAATGAATTAAAAAAAATTTTTACTTATTTTAATTTTTTTTTTCCATTGTGAGAAGAAAATAATTTTTGTTTGAATTATTTGATTTAATTTAAATAATACATACGTTATACGTAAAAAATTTATATCTATGCTATAACAGTCTCTATATAGATAAAAATACTCAATGACAACTTGATACGTGATAAACATATAAGTATATGGATTAATTATTTAGTTAGTTGCGGGTCGTCAAATAATTAAGTTATGCTAAAAATTATTTAAAAATACTACAAATAAGTTGATTAGAATAGCTTTTATTAATATAAAAATGCAAATTTTTATGATGAGAAATTGAAATAATTTATCTTTATTATGGTAATATAAGATTTAAAATAAAAAATATCAAGTATTAATCATTAAAATATTTTCGGTGAAAATAAAAAATAAAGTAACATTCAAGTTAGACGAGTCTCTATTAAATTGATAATTTATGTATTTTATATTTATTGTTAAAACGTTTGATAGTAGATTTCAAGTTTACAATCACCCTTGACTGTGTAAATATATCCCCACTTAAAATATCATTCCCCTTCTTTTTCAACCTAATACAACCATGGATAGAATTAAATCGTACTTATACCGGCGATCTCGATCGCAATTGAAAAGTCGCTGGTTGATCATAACTACTATCATTTTTACTGGAATGTTTGGCATACTTATTGCTGTATTAGCACTACAAAGCTATTGTACTGAAGCTCAACTTTTCAGGTAATTTTTTTTTTCTTAATTATATTTTATATCATTAATAACTAACTATTTTTAATTTAATACTCCTTAAACTACTCTATTTTATATTAAATATCTATTTAAATAACTTTTATTAATTTTAAATCTAAATCAAGATTCTGATCTAGTTGTTTAATTTTAATCTCTAATTTAAAACTTTCACTTTGAAAGTATTACCGTTGTCACTCGTATTTATAACAGTAAATTAGTAGTAGTAAAAATAATAATAAATATTTTAATTCCAGTTCACCATGGCATTACAAATGTACCAGCGGATATTGCAAGAAACAGGAGATAACACCCAGTGTAACATTACCGTTGTCTTTGGGAGTTTGCCAGCTATTTTGCGGTCAAGGAGGTGCATTGTGGCCCAAGCCAACAGGTCATTTATCTTTTGGTAATTTTGTGGCACACTTAAACCCAGACAAGATCCAAGTCCGTTCAATAAATCCAAAATCAAAAGTTGGAAGTCTTTTCCATCGTAACGTCGAGATACTTAAAGCAAATATCAAAAAGCAGGCTGGAAAACTAGCAAAATCTGGTGGGTTAAGTCTCAATATAAATATACAAGGTTTAAAAAACGATGATGATTCTACTTTAACATTAAAAACCAACGAGAATTACACACTGGAGATATACCAGCCGAATAGCGATGAAATAACCGCAACAATAAGTGGAGACAATTACTTTGGAATACGTCATGGTATTGAAACATTGTCTCAATTGATAGTCTTCAATGACTTGACTAATGAAATTCAAGTAGTACGTGATGTTCATATAACTGATGGTCCAGTATATCCCTACCGTGGGGTATTACTGGACACCAGTCGTAATTATATGGATAAAGCATCAATATTAAGAACCATTGAAGCTATGGGTATGTCTAAATTAAATACGTTCCACTGGCATATTACAGACTCTCATAGCTTCCCTTATGTCAGTCGTACGTGGCCCAACATGTCCAGATATGGAGCTTACACACCTAGTAAAGTGTACAACGCTGAAGATATTAAAGAAATTGTTGAATTTGGTCTTCTTAATGGCGTTCGTGTACTTCCAGAGTTTGATGCTCCAGCTCATGTAGGTGAAGGCTGGCAATGGGTTGGCAACAACGCCACAGTGTGTTTCCGTGCTGAACCCTGGACAAAGTACTGCGTTGAACCGCCTTGCGGTCAATTGAATCCAGCTAGTGAAAGAGTTTATGAAATACTTGAGGGAATTTACAAAGACATGATCGATGACTTCAAGCCTGATATTTTCCATATGGGTGGAGATGAAGTTAATATCAATTGTTGGAATACTTCCGAGCCTGTTCGCAAGTGGATGATTGAAAAAGGATGGGATTTGTCAGAGTTAAGTTTCATTGATCTCTGGGATATGTTCCAAAAACGAGCTTACGAAAAGTTAAAATTAGCCAATGGTGGCAAAGACATACAAGTTATTTTATGGACAAGTGGACTTACCAGCGAAGAAAATTTAAAACATTTAGATCCTGAGAAGTATATTATACAGATATGGACTACTGGTCTTGACTTGACGATCAATAGATTAATAAAAAATAACTTCAAAGTTATTTTTTCGAATTACGACGCACTTTATCTAGACTGTGGGTGAGTAATTACTCAATGGTTAATTAACCATTTAACAGTTATAGATTAATTGGTTACACGGTAAATTGGTATTAATTTAGCTTTGTATTTGTTTTTTATTTTTAGCTTCGGAGCTTGGGTTGGCGAAGGGACAAACTGGTGCGCGCCTTACAAAGGATGGCAAAAAATTTATGAAAACTCCCCTTTGAGAATGGTCAAGAGCCAAGGGTTTGAAGATAAAAATCATTTAATTCTTGGTAAATATTATCCTTTAAAACAGTCTAGTAGTTTTTTAAAGTAACTGATAAATTACCAAAAATAATTAAATGTTGCAGTTCATTTATATCCAGCAATTTTTATCAAGTTTATTATTTTAGTGTACTAAAAAATATTGATTTTTTTTTTTAATTATCAGGTGGTGAAGCAACACTGTGGTCTGAACAAGTAGATAGTACTTCGGTAGATTCACGATTATGGCCTCGAGCGGCAGCAATGGCTGAAAGATTATGGGCTGAGCCACAATCATCATGGATGCACGCAGAACATCGTATGCTTCGTCATCGCGAACGCTTAGTTAAACGAGGAATTTTCGCAGATAGCTTGGAACCTGAGTGGTGTCTTCAAAATCAAGGTCACTGTTATTTGTAAAATACCACATAAGTAATATTAAATTTCATTTTATTTTTAACTTTTTTTAAAATTCTTTTAGTAAATAAAAAATTATTAAGTCTGATAACAGTAATAAATGTATTAACTATAATAGATAATAGAAATATTTTATAAACATATATATATATATATATATATACGTATTTCTATAACATAGATACATTCTTATTTTTATTATGATTGAATCGATGTTGGTTACGAAGTTCTGGCGACTTAATTAAATTTCGATTAGAGAAACTTAGTGAATCGACCCCACGTCGAGATCTACGTATTCTCCACGTTCGTTTTAATTCCGCTCTCACTTCTCCGTTGAGAAAACAATAAAGCAGAGCTACAACTGATCCCTTGAAAAAATAAAAAAATAATTTTTGTCAGAAACAATCAATTGGTGAAATTGTATATAACTTAATTGAATGATATTTACTTGGAATGAAGCAAAAAACTGGTCCCAGAAAAGCCAAATAAGTTCGAGTTGATAGTCTCTATGATAAGAAAGACCTAAAAAAATAGCGTAGTGTGCACCGAATAACGGTATGAGAACTAAAGTTGATTTTGCCCATTTTCCATATTGCATTTTTTTCCGCTGCAAGTACACCGACGTTTTCATTTTTATTAGCAATACTCGTACAATATTTATAAAAAGAACAAAGTTTAACTATATAACAGAAAAATTAAAAATAAATTATTAACTGATATATAGTATGTTATTGAAAATTATTGATCGTTCAGACAAAAATATTTCTGAGTATTTAAATTCTAATTGAATTTTATTAAAAAAAAATTTTTAAGAGTCTAGTTTTAAAAAATTGTTCAAAAATTGAAAAGTTTATTTTTGTTTAATCAATCACAGGTTTATTAATGTAATTAATAAGTAAATGTAATAACGAGTGAAAAATGATAAATATATTCCATGACATTTTTTAGAAAATAAATTTAAGAATATTTTTGTATGAAGATACTCCTATTCAGACTTACGTTTTCTTTAAATTTAAAATTATAAAAAATATTAGTAGATGTATACCAATGTATACATTCTCGTCGTAATTCAAGTAATTTAACTAATACTTCTAATCCTCGATTTAGGCACACTTAAGTATGTAATACCTCGGGTCTCTTTTATTACTTATATTTTGAAAAAAAATAAAAAATAAAGAAAATACATCGAAAACTGTTCAGACAAAATTGAAACCTGGGTACTTTATATTCAGTATGCCTTTCGGGGATTAATTTTTTTGATAACTTTAACAGTTGAAATGATGAAGTTTGTGAATTTAAAAAATATATTTTTAAAAAATTGAACTCTACGTTTATGTAGTGGATAAAGAAACTGCTGATAATTGTATAAAATTTATAGTAATAATAAAAATTAATTTACCATTATAGAAATAATAATTGGAATACGTATAATAAGAAAGAATGATTGATTATTGTGTGTGGTCCAACACAGTGTGTCTTCTTTGATAATACGTAAGATTATCCAGATAATTACTACAGCTAATGGTACACTCCATCCAAACACTGTGTAGCACGTTATAGCTGAAGTATCAGTAAATGAAAAAAAAATAAGGTTGTGAAGATACAAGCCCTCAATAAATATCCACGAATAATTGGCGACAATTGAGTACTGCCACAAACTTGTAATAACTTTGCAAACCCAAATCTAAAAAATTATAAAAAATATTATCAACATTTACAACTAATACAGTTTATATTTATATATGTATATATCTGGCTTCTGTTTATAAGTAATAAAATTAAAAAAAAAGTTATGAATAATCGATGCTAGTTTTAATTAATTAATATCAAAAGTTTTCATGCAAATCCTTTTATTTTTCATTAAAAGTATACTTTAGTAAACATAATGCCTTCCTTCGTTTACTGAAACCATCTCCGAGATGAAAGGGTGAATCAATATAAATAAATATACTTAACGTTACCGGACCAAAAAAAAAAAATGTTAAAAATAAGGGAAACTTATAAACAGAATTTCATAAACATATAGTGCAGTTATGAGACAGAAAAAATTACATTTTTCTCCTTGATGTATGCACTTTTACCATCTATTGAAACGACATTCCATGAAAGCCCAACTCCGTCTACAAAGAGCCAATCTTTCAAAAGTGCCATCGATGCTCTCATTATAAAGGATGAAAATAAATTCATATGAAGCCGATTACGTGAATTTTGCAGTTTTCTTATGAATAAGAATATTGTCATGGCAGCTATTAACGTTAGGAATGATGATGCGTAGCCAATTATTGAAATAGTCTTGATAATTGGTAACCATGTCTATAATAAAAATTTTTTTTAGTCAATATTTGAAAATTCAGTTTTATCCTTTTTTAATTATTATCACAAAACTCTCTTTTTCTTTCAACAATTAAATTTAGGAATATCAGAAGCCGTAGTGCTTTGTATCTCTTAGTTTTGTAAACTGTATTGCTTATGCAACGATAATGAATTCATAGCGGTATAACTGTTATCTGGAGTTTTGCACATACAAGATACTTAGATAGTATATGATTATAAAATGAAAGAATCATTCCAGCAAAATCTAAAATTTATTCAGAATTATCTTATATTATTTATAAAAGTGTTGCATGAAAACGGCTCATTGAGTATTTTTAAAATATTAAATATAAATAATTTAATATTTGTTTTATGTAAAAATAACTGAAATTAAAGTAAAATATAAATCAATGTCTTTTAAGGTTGCACGGACGATACCCCGTAAGTCATAGTAGAATCTAAATTTTTTTTTTTCATTAAAATTAAAAATTTGAATACGAAAATTCATTATTATAATTTAATCGTTACCTTATATTATTATTAATTAAAATTCGGCCTGAAATTTTCGTGAATTTCTTTTTCATTAAAATATCTTTAAAAGCCTTCGTCAGAAAATTTTTATTTTATTTTTAACGTATTCTACGAAAGTTGATTGACTGAAATAGAAGTTTTTGGTTTTTTAATCTTCCTGTGAGGTAGTCACATGAATCGATATATGTGCAATCCGCCAATAGTCTCTGTAGGCTACATGTTAAATTTCAATTTTTTAATAATTTATTAAAGGATAACCCTTCATCAGATCTACTCCAAAAAATTAATTTAGACGCATGAGATAGCAATTCATAACATATCAAAAAATTAGCTTCTGATCTTCAAAAGTACATGAGTGTCCGTACAACCTTAAATGATCATAAAAATCTTTTTCCAAAACGAAAAATTATAGTAGAAAACTATAATAAATAATTTTCTACGTTCCAAAAACTTTTGTTTTAAATGTCAAGATCTCTTACAAAAAGCCTCAAGTGCTTTATTACTATTTTAAGCCCTAATTTTTAACATTTATTTTTCTTTCTTCCATTCAACTGTTCTATTTTTTAAAATTTATATAATTGTATGAAAATCAATTTAGCAGATATTTAATAATTTTTTCAATTTTTTTTACAAATAAATTGTCGCAAAAATAATGAGAAAAAAAAATTAACATGTAGAAATTTAAAAAAATAAAAAATGCAATTTTTTTTAAATAATTTTTTTTCACAAATTTATTTGTTAAAAAAAATTAAAAAATTATGAAGTGCCGGCTAACTTTAATGTCATAATTGTATGAAAATAAATTTAGCAGATATTTAATCATTTTTTAAAATTTTTTTTACAAATAAATAGTGGCAAAAATAATGAGAAAAAAAAGTTGACATGTAGAAATTTAAAAAAATTAAAAATGCAATTTTTTTTAAATAATTCTTTTTCACAAATTTATTTGTTAAAAAAAATTATAAAGTGCCGGCTAACTTTAATGTCATAATAATTGTTTAATAATTATAAAAATAATAACTTACAGTTAAAATAGTTGCATTACAAAATTTTCCATACTCCGAACGTGGAAATTCTAAAGTCCTAATCTCGGTAATAAATTCTCCTGGAGGCGGAGTACATTGTGTGTAGTTACTCCAAAAAACTCCTTCATTGTTTCTGTACCACTCGCCATAAATATTACAGTATTTTGTAGCAACAGCATTGCCATGAGGATTTTCATAGCCGAGTACATAGAGTGGTGGACACGGAAGATTTATCGTTTGATTTGAGTTAGACGGTGGCCAGCAAAGAAGGCCGTCAAAAAACGGCGGGCAATGGTTCGTTAAATTTACTTTCACATCTATATTTATATATAATTTTATTAATACTCACTTTTATTCAATAATTAAATAATTACTCTGATCGTGTGATATTGACTTTTCAAGTTAACGCAATTGACCTAGTTATTGATACCACAAAGTCTCAATAGCTAGTTTTAGCAATTTTATCTAATAGCGTAGAATTTTGATGCTTTAAAGTGACACGTTTTCTGCCACTAGATGGCTAAAACATATAACTGTACTTTTTTTTTTCTCGCAAGTTCTCGAAAGTTTAACCTCTGTATATAACGTATAATTATATTTAATGGAAATTATTGATATAACTGTTAATTCAATTATAAAATCAAATACTGGCATTCAAAAATGATATTAAAGTTATGAAAAATAAGTTAGCCGACATTTAAAAATTTTTAGAATTTTTTTTATTGAAAAATGATTAAAAAAAAAAATTAAAAAAAAATTCACTTGTAAAACACTTTAAAAACTGTAAGTGCAATTTTTTAAAAATATTTTTTTGTTCTAATTTAATTATTTGATTTTTTTTTTAATAATTAAATTAAAACAGAAAAATATTTTTTAAAAATTTCACTTACAGTTTTTAAAGTTTTTTACAAGTGACACTTTTAAAAAAATTTTTTTGTAATCAATTTTTCAATAAAAAAAAATTCTAAAAATTTTCAAATGTCGGCTAACTTAATTTTCAACATTCAAAGACTTAATAAATACTCTTAAAAGTTTTAAAATTAATAAATAATTTTTTAAAAATTAAATTTAAAATATTTAAAAGTAATTATTATTATTGAACTGACGAACTCTTAATTCGATTATAAACATTTTCATTAAAACTTTAAAAACACTTGAATGTTATTTATTTTACCGTAAATTTTAATGTTTTCTCGTTATTTATTAAATCCAGTGTATTGACAGAATATTTATATGGGTAAAAAAAAAAGTAAATAAATAAAATAAAAAATGCTTGAAAATAAAATAATACAAACAACAATGAATAAAACATATTGTTGTTGGTGTCGAGAGGTCATAAATCATATATGAGGACAATACTCTTAGGTACGGTTATTCCTTTTTTTATTTGATTGTTTTTTTATTTTTTTATTTATTTTCAATGTTCCCGGAAAGTTTATGAATAGACGAGATGAGCAAATAAATATCAATATGAATTGTTGTTATACGTCAATTCATAAATTCAAAGTTTAAATAGATTTTCAAATATATTTAAGATACGTGTATTTTATTATTTCATGGTAAATTTTTGATTTTACTAATATTAAATTATGTACGATAAAACTTACGGTCTTCCATTAATTGATGACAAAAATTTTTTTGATTTTCTATAAATTCATCGATATTATCCATTATCATTAACAATTGTTGATGCAATTACACTAGGGATCAAAAAACTATTATTTTATTCTATCACATGTACGATTAATTTTTAATTTTCAATTATTTTATCAAAATACACTTGAAAAATTCCAAGAGATTTATTGAACAAATAAAACGCATCTTTTTTCGCCGGCGATTGAGATGCGTCTGAACACATTACCCGGGAATAAATCTTGAGGCTTGAATAGTTTTCCGCGTATTAAATCGCGCAAGCGTCAATCAGATGTCAATTTTAATATTGCACTGACAGCTATCAACGCCTGCTAATTTGATTATTTATTGACAATTGAAAATATGATTTGATAATTTCTATTAATGAGAATTAAAATTATATGTACTATATATGTTAATTATCAAGAGAATTTTGTATCGATTTTTTGACAATGTTTGTTCTTCAATATTTATTGGTTTCAGTTTTCGTTTCTGAAAAACGATCCATTAAACCAGCAATTTGATAAAGTGTATTAAATGTAAATATTAATTTGATTAATAAGTAAACCAGAAGATACATTTCAAGTAACAATACACTTTTAATTCTCTATGTAATTTTTTTTTTGCCAATATCATTTTTTATTATTTTCTAATTATTAATACTACAATGCATTTTTTAAATAAAAATATCTGACAACTATTTAATCAATAAATAATAAATAATAATAATAATAATAATTATTATTATTATTATTATTATTATAACGCTTAAAATATTTTTATCTGTATAAAGTGTACAAAATAAAAGGGTTAATGGATTAAAAGAAATGTTTTTAATAAGAGAAAAAAATTATAACATATTTGTATAATACTTGACAATTTTTTATTCAACAAATGTTTCAAATTGATAATAATAATTTTAACGTTTACAATAATATCCACGATGTTTAACACCGAAAATATATATTGTCATAAAATTATTAATTTTATGAATTAATACAAACAGATATCATAACTTAATTATTACAATTAATTTTTTCGTGCATAATGAAATATTTTTGTGTTTTGAGAATTGTAAAAAACTTGTACAAATAATTTTTTTTTTTTTATTATTATTTATGTTGTCGATTTTTTTCTGAATGACCTTTTATTCTAATTCTGGCAAAGATATTGTAGGATGTACTTGTATACTGTATACATTTAATTTATTGACAGGCGTATGGCATTAATCGGCAATTAATACTATTTACTCAATTGCTAGTGTTATTAACATGATAATGAATAATATCAATAGTTATTATCCACTCACATGCTATGAATATATCCATATAAATTTATAAGTACATGTCATAATTACTCTTGAATTTTATGTACAATACAAATGTACATAATTTTTAAATATTTACATTTTATTTATTTTATTATTGATTCTAATATTAACAGTAATCATCCATAGGCCATCTTAATTTTTATCTAATCTAATCCAGGTATAAAAGGTAGCTATAAGTTTGACATTTAAATTAATTATTAGTAGCATTTATACTTGTTTGAAGCAAAGATTCATTCTTTAAAATTAATCTTAATTATACAAACTTACAACAAATTATTATTTAATAATAATTAATAAATTAACATAACAATAATTCTGTAGTGGAATTTTAAAAAATTAAGTTATCTTGGCCTTAATTATTGTGTATAAAAAATTTTTATTTATCAAAAGTAATCATTAAATGAACAAGAAAAAAAAATCTAAAACAATATTTTATAATAAATCTCATCAGTAATCGTATTTTACACTATATTACATCATATACATTCAATTTAAATAAATTATACAATTTTTTAATCAATTTATTAATTAATATCAATTGAATTTATCGTAAGTTAATATAACTGTTTATTTCCTTTTATTTAATACTCATTCTACTCCTTATATTAATTCATAATTATTATATTTTGTTTTGATTTGATATTCATTTAAACAGCATATACTTATTATGAAAAATTGCACACATAAATTAATTATTGGCGATAATTTCATTTTACATTTAATTAATTTTTTACAATTATCACTTTAATTTTTTTTTTTTTATTATTTCGGCATTTTAAAATTATTTTTCACTCGTTGATATTCATTATTTACGGTATACGGTTTGTATTTTATTTAAATATAATAAAACTGAATTAAGAATTAAAAAGGCACTAAGAATATAAAATGCCAACATTATTAATTAATACTTGTTTATCTTTTTTTTTTTTGTAAATATTGAATTGATAAAAACTTTACTTTCGTAATTTTTCTTTTTCACATTTTCGTTTCCATTCAAATTATTTATGATAATATATAACAAAAAAAACTGTCTTTCACTCGCTCAAAATAATACTATTAAAAAAATTATGTACGTTCTTTAATGTACTTTTTTTAATCTAATCTATTTTTTGTAATTATTACTTAATTATTTATTTTTTTTTTTTCTCGGTATGTATAAAAACCTACAATTTTATTAAGCTCTCAAACTCATCAATAAAAACTAACAATGAATTTAAAATGTCTTTCATAATTTAATCAACTATTTTCTTAATTATTCGTTTTTATTCATTTAATATACTAAAATTCGTGTACTGAAGCTTTTATTATCGATGCAATTTTCTAATTCAAGCACACGATGACAAATAAATTTACTATATATATTAACAATTTACAACTTGAACAGCCTCAATTATAAAAAAATTCTCAATTATTTATCATTATCATAATGATGTTTCAATATTTACAATTATCATTTAAAAAAAATGTTCATTTATAAAATTATTAATTTTTTACATTAAGTGTTTTTCCGACACTTGAGATTCCCAATAACTCGACATAAACGATTTTTATTCTATCTGGAATGCGGTCAAAGACATTTACCAGGATTGTGAGTACACCATTGCGGCCACATTGCTTCAGTTTTAAGACCACGTGCCTGTAAGAGATCAATGTGAGCTGCTAATCTTGTATAAACTGTTTCTTCCGTAGTATATCCTGAGCCAGGTGGATCACTCCTAAAAAAAAAAAAAAAAATAAACCATTAATATTTAGTAAATTCCAATATCAATTATATTACTTAATATGGTGGTCATAGATTTTGCAAATTAAAAATTTTTGAATCAAATAATTAATTGGATTCATTCAATTATTAACCCTAGACTGGTCAACAAACGCGACCTAACGACTTTGGTCAAGTGATGAGAAAAGCCCTGCGAATTGCCACAAATTTTTTGAGAAATTTTTTTTCAGCAATTTAACGTTTTCAAAGATGTTTGAAAAAATTATTAATATGTTCTAAAATGTTCAAGGAACAAAGTCAAATTTTTTCGAATAATTTTAGTAAATATTGAAGATGTAATAAAAAAAAAAGACGCCATTCGGCTACACCCGAAATGGAAGGTAGATTTCAGGTAGAATGAATTATCATCTTATCTCAATAACTTTCGTTCGACATGGAATGAAATTTACTTTAACATACATAAGTAGGTTGTATTACACATTGCCTGAAAATGGTTTAATTCAACTCTTAACTTCAATAAAATACCTAATAATGGCCAAAAAGTTAACGTTATGTACGTCAAAATAGAAGTGATTTTGTGAGTTTTCACATAAATTTATCAAAAATCAGCTATCTTTTTGCTATTAAAAGTTATACATAAATGAAGTCACCGACAACGTAATTTCTACTATTTTTATCATTTTGAAGAGCTACTATTTCTGAACTAATCGAAGGATTTCGCTCATTTCAAGGCTTAAGCAAGCTAATTGTCTAAAGAACTTGTATACTAAATTTCATTAGGATCTGCTGAGAATTCTCGACAGAATAACATTCATAAGTCGATTGCACTACTCATTGCTTGAAAATGGTTCAATAGAACTTTTAACTTCGATAAAATAATTAAAAATGGTCAAAATGTCAATGTTATAAAAGCTAAATTAAAGGTAATTTCATGAGCTTTTATATGAATTCATAAAAAATTAGCCATCTTTTTTCAATCAAAAGTTATACATCAATGAAGTCACCGAAAACGTGATTTTCACTATTTTGATAATTTTGAAGAGCTGCCATTTCTAAATTTATTGATGGATTTCGCTCATTCTCGAACTCATTCAAGGTTATTATTCAAAGAATATGTGTAACAAATTTCATCTAGATCCGTCAAGAACTGTAGACACAATCGCGGCAACATCCCGCGTTATATTACATATATAAATTTTTTAACTAACGTTATTTTTGAGCTTTACTCAACTAGTTAAGAGATATTACGACAAAATTCCAATATGAGGACCAATGCAAAAGATTGATTTCTATGAAATCTACCTAAAAATATAATTGAGCGTGGCGTCACGCTCATATATTGTGACCAGTCTAGGGTTAAAAACCAAAATACGTAAAATCAAAGAGTTTTTTTTATAAATGATCAAAAAAGTGACCATTCCCATAAATAATATATAAAAAAAATTAACCATAATCTCTCAGCGAATGCCGAAGCTCTGGGCCATAATCTAGGTCCAAGTGAAGCCTGTCCGATTTGTTCGCTCCATAAGGCAGCTTCACCTCCCATTATTAAATGCATCGACGACGGATAATCTCTCCAAGGTCGATGATTATAAACAGTTTGCCAAGTACGATACTCTCCACACGCAGCTTCACCAGTTTCTCGCCATTTACCGAATCCACAGTCTAAATACCAGGCGTCGACATGGGATAAGATGACCCGAAAACCGTCTTCCAACAAATCACCAGTCTCTGGCCAAGTGCTTCCACCCCAAGACTGTATAACATGTACCTTAGGATCAAACGGCTGCGAGGTAATCCACGGACGTTTAGTTAACGGTGAACTCCATAAAATAGCAGCCTTAGGTGTTTGATCTCGATTAGCATGAACAATTCGTCGATAAATTTTACCTTCAAAGTCAGCCCACAGGGCATGAAGATCCGTAAAATTTTGCGCTTGCATTGCTTGAGTAATATTACTGTACTGGGCCCAACAGTCGAGATTAACTTCATCACCACCCAAATGTATAATATCGCGGACATCCGTGAGATCTAATAATTCTTTATAAAGTTCTTCTATTATTTTATAAGTATGTTTATTTATTGGATTGAGCTGTCCGCAGTTCGGCTCACCACAATAAGACGACCAAGGTTCTTGATCAACACAGAGTGCTAGTTCACCGAGTCCGTGCTCTGGACCCCACTGCCATCCAGCGCCAGCATGAGCTGGACTGTCGATTTCTACGATAATCCTTATCCCACGTATTTTGGCATAGTCTACAAGATCTTTAATATCGGCAGATGAATAAGTTTCTTCGGCACTGTAAGCTCCCCATCGTGCCATATTGGGGAAGATTGTTGAATCGAACGGAAAACTCTGTGAGTCTGTTAGATGCCAGTGAAAAGTGTTAAGCTTTGACGCTGCCATACCGTCAACAACTCGTTTTAACTGCTCGATTGGAAAAAATTGTCTACCGGTATCAATCAACAGCCCACGATAGTGAAACGTTGGCTTATCAATGACGTAAACATTTGAAAGAACACGAAGCCCTCCTTGCTTTCCCGCTATCTCGTCCCACCAGAACAATTGACTCAACGTCTCTAAACCATGTCGCACTCCGTGATAACTATTTGCGGTTATTCTTCCTTCGAGATATTTATTATTCAGTTTGACTTCAAGTTTGTACGATTCATCGGTGTCTAACATGAGCTTTGTTCCTTTTCCATCACCGGCACTTAAATATATCACAAAATTGTCGATATTCGATTGCCCTTTCGCTGTTGCAGCCTTTTCTAAATTTCTGATGTTTCCTAAAAATAAAACAATTTTTTAATAACTTTTTATATTCGATTTAAGTTTATTTTTTAATTTTAGTAAATTATTAATAGTATATTGTGTGGCTAGGGATGAAACAAAACGATTTCAGACCAGAGTGAATCACTGGGTCTGAAATCATGTAACACATTATATTTTTCATATAAGTTTCTAGATAGTTTTAGATAAATATCGAAAATACCATTTTATTATAAAAGTTATTAAGAAAATTAAAAACTACAATTCAAGAAAGTAATGGTTTATTTGTTATTAAACATTATTCGTAAATTGAAGAGTTTTCGTTTGTCATTCTTATTTGGACTCTGTTATGCATTTTTTTTTTTTTTTTTTTTTTTTTTTGTTTGAAAAGATTATTTTTATTTTTCCTTAATACAATCTTGGTTACTCAAGCATAAAAATACATAAAAAAAAAACTTAATATTCTATTCTTAAATTAAAGATAATTAACAACTGGCTAGATCTCGTTGCTTATATAAATTGTTTTATAGCTAAAACTAAAATATTTTGATATGTCTTTGTTGTTTTGATTTAACACTTAATGGTTAGCACTAGTAGTTTAGAAGATGTTAAAAATTAGGAATTTAAAAAAAATATCTGCGACAACTCTGTTATGCAATAGTGTGTTAAGTACATAGGATTTTCATAGCACTTAACACATTAATGCATAACAGTGTCCAAAATTTATGCTTAGTAACAGAATTATAATATGCCAGTACAATTAACGATTAGAATGACAATTATAAAGGTATAAAAAAGTATAAAGTTAATAAAAAAAACTTACCTATAAAAATATCTTTGGCATGCTCGAGTAAATTTTGGACATCATGATCACTCGTACTGATAGTAACAAATTCGATTTGCTGAAGATTTAACATTACACTATCTTCGCCGAGTATTATATCGCCAGTTGGTTTTGGCCACAGTAATCGACCATGCCCACCACAAGTTGCCGTACAAGATGCCAAAGATCGTTGTGATGTTTTTACCGCACGTCTTTCACATCTTCCTGCCACACAAATCCACGACCAGGGTGTGTTGAAAGTTCTACATAAAAAAATTTAAGAATTAATTATTTTTCATAAAATTACATTAAAAAAATAAATTATTTTAAAGCAATATCGAGCAATAGTTAAAATAAAAATAAAAAATCCTACAAATAACTTATCCAATGCTTTCTTACAATTGTCGTTTGATTATTTTTTAGTTTTTACCTGTGCATAAGTAAATAATCTTGTAACTCATACCCCAAGTGTTCATTTGTTATATTTTTAAACGGTTTGACAATTGATAGCATTGATAACTGCTTCATACTAATTGTGAGACGAGTGAATGGATAAAATTGTTGGCATGTAAAATTTTTTACAATATTTTTTAAAGATAATTATCAAGATTTGCAAAATAATTAATAATTTCGGACTTAATTGTTTTATTTTTATTATTATTAAATTTACCTTCTAGGAGCAAACGGCTGAAGTGATACAAGTGGAGGTGCATGAGCGTACATCGCTATTAGAAGGACTCCAGTAATAAGGACGAGGAAAAGAAGGACTTTCCTCATCCAACCACTTGGAAGACCCCCTATCATCCTTCCAAATCTGTTTTTAACAAAAATCATAATAATTATTATTATTATTATAACTAATTTTTTTTTGTATCATTTAATTATTTAGATAATTTTGTATTCAGAACTCTAATATTTTTCTTGATGATAAATATCAGTTAGTTCCTTATTTACTGAATTGATTTTCTTTACTTTAATATTCAGTATAAATATAATTGTAAATTTATCAATCATATACAATTCATTTACCTAATCATTATTGTACTTGAAAAAAAAAAAAAAAAAAAAAAAAACTTTTAATGTTTGTCGTGTAAAAATATAATCTAAAATTTAAAACTTAAAAGTCATAGAAGCGATCAATAGTCTGAAAATAGACTGAAATAATAAAATTTTGTGATTATCATTACTCAGTTGTAAGTAAAAGAGTATAGATACAAAATAATAAGGTAAATTAATACTGATTAAATTTAAAAAATAAGTACTGATAATGATAAAAAAAAATGGTTTATGTGAAGAAATAATTAAAAGTTTATAGTAATTATTATCGCTGGATAAAAAAAAAGTAAAATGGAATTAGGGTTGATTAAAGTAGAGGGGATGATTTAAAATAGTAAGTAACAATGACGCATGTAAATGGGAAAGTTTGGTTGGTGGTTGTGTATTACTTTTATACATAGTATGTTTTGTATTAAGTGGTTACTTGTAGCCAGGCAACGCGCAATGACCACAGTAGTTTCAGACCAGAGTTTACTTGTATTATCACCATATTTCCCGAACTTGACCTCTTACTTTTTAGTGCCCTTGTTTTTTATCATCATTGTTCGTCATTAGCAGTTGCTCCGAAGTCATCAGTAAGATTTATTATTATTTTAGTCTCATCACTCAAGACAGCAATAACAATAGCAACTAAGCAAGTGGTTATATTAGCGCTAGCATATCAACTATAAATTATTCGTAGACTTAAATAAATTTATAGATGAATCTAATTTATCACAACAATGTGCAATGACGAAGATGATGATGATAAAATTTTTTGGATTTATGAACATTCACTTAAATCGGCCAGAGGTGTGTTTTTAAATTCCGTTTATTCAATAATTTACTTGGTGTTGTTTTTTTAACAAAATTATTAGATTAAAAAAAAAGTATTGAAACTCTGGAAAAATAAAAAAATTTATTTATTTATTTATTTAATATTAATTAATTAAAATGAAACTAAAAAAACGATGCAATTACACACAACTAAATACGTTAATAATAAATGTAAGTAGTTTTAATCATTCATTAAAGCGATTTCAAGTGCGTTGATTTATTTTACCTTATAAATAATCTTCTCCATATTATTTGTGACACTTTCATAGTTTAAACCGCATTAACATGTGTATGAATGATAAAAGATAAACAACCTAGATGTACAGAGCCATTCAATTTAATAAAAGTGTGTGTCGGGTGAGTCGAGTGTTGATGATAGTTACTGTGTTCTGTATGTAACTAATAATAATGATGATGATGATAATAACAATAATAATAATATAATAATGTAAGTGTAATCGATGAGAACTAGGGGTTCTTTTGAATATTTTATCATCTTTTTTTTTTCTTCTTATAAACTTTTTTTAACGCACTACATTTATATTGACAGTTACTGGGTATTTATTCACCTGTCAATCGTTTCTAGTCAACGTAATCATTCACAGGATCCTCGATTTCTGCAAGTAAAAAATAAATCATTATTATTATTATTATTATTATTATTATTAAATGTCAAAGTAAATAAATTTTGATTGCAGCAATAAGACAAAAATGAAGAAAAACAGGCAAAACCTTCTTGTGAAGTCAAATAAACGAGAAGAATAAAAGGGTTTAACGAACTGATAATAAAAAGCGGTAGGATCGTTAATTTGGTAAAATAAAAAAAAAAACGTTTTGTAAAATTGAATTGACAGACAATATAATGACGATAAGAAGACTTGCTGTTTTGGCAGCTATTAAATCCAACCAATCTAATGGTACTACTACTACTATTCTTAATAATGATAATGATCAATGTCTTTTAGGACATAATATGTCGGCTAATGGGGATGTTGGAATGTTTGGAGTTGATTTACACAACAACGTTTTTATCCAAGGGTATATTTTTTTAAATTTATTATAATATTTTTATTAGACTTTACTCTTTATACTAAAAAATTTATTTCATAATATATAAACGTTTCAATATATTCACCAACTGTTTAAATTAAATTAAATTTCTATTTATAAATATCAGAGATGGTTTAATTATTCTTCTTCGTCATTAATATAATATTAGGGTGTGCTAAAATTCAATTTCCGTGAAGAACCTTTTAAAATTCGACTCTGAATGATATTATAAATTCCCAGAGTTTAAGCATTTTTTAAAATAAAGTATTTGATTATTTTATGTCACTTGAGATTGAAGGAAAACAGTAAATTGATTCAGACTTGATTCTACGATTTTTTGTCTCGAGATTACTTTTATTACTGTGTTTCTCTTAGAAACTATTCTGATTAGGAAAAATATGTTATTTAAATTCTAAATTCTATAAATGTGAATTCACTTCTTAAACTATACTATCATTAATGTGAATATATAATGTTTATGTATTTTGTATATTTGCCATTCGGCTTATGAGGCCTTGGCATAACTTTATGATAAATAAATAAATAAAAATTGAAATTTTGAGTTCCGCTTTTAACAGGAACTGTGTTGGGACATTTCCTGAGATATTTTGGGTTGAGACGATTTATTTGATTTTCATAGAATTTTTAACAGGAGCTTTGTTTGAGCACTTCCGGCCAAATGCGGAAATTTCAGCGAAAGTGCCCAAATACAGCTCCTATTAAAAGCGGAACTCAAAATTCCAATTTTAAAAAAAAAGGTTCTTCATGGAAATTGAATTTTGGCACATCTTAATATAATATGATTGTTTTTATTTGGTTGAATTGTAAAAAATAAAAGACTTTTTTAAAAAATAAAATCAAGTAATTTAGTATATTATAAAATATTTTTACAAATAATTTTTTTAGATTATTTCTAATGATCAATTTAATTATATACATGTAGAGGTTAATAATTGATTATTTATTTTTCTAGAGCAATTCTCATGGGAGCTCTAATGGCTGCAGTCCTTGCATGCTACTGTTGTCTTAGAAATTCAGAAAAAACCCGTGAACAAGAGCGTGCTGCATATTCAGTAGCAGAACCAGATGTTCAAAGTCTTCAAGTTTTTACGACTAACTCCTACAATGTAATAAATTTTAAATTGTCATTTATTATAAAATCTAAAATTATTAATATTTTATTTTTTGAAGGATCGCGAATTCGATGAGCAACGTTATGAAGATTGGATTGATCGTATGAATGAAGAATTAACATCATTGCCAGCTTGTCCAGGTACACCTGGACCGCCACCACCGTATGAAAGTCTTATTTTCAATTTACAAAATTTACCGTCACCCAGTCAAAAAGATGGATCTGTGATTTATCCATCCGAAAAAGAAAAAAGTGATAATGCCAAAGACGATAAAGAAGACGATGGATTACCGCCTTATGACGCTGCTATTAAACTTGCTGGTGATGGATATGTTTGAAAATAAAAATCTATCTAAATTTACTAACTAGGTAAATATTTGAATAAACAATATTTTACTTTATTGAAATGATAATCAATTATTAAACCAAATGCAAACAACGCGATAATAAAGTACACACAGTGCTGAATATACTGTAATTGTGCTGAAGACAATTAATCAACTTTTAACAACCAATGCTATTTTTATTATTATTGATTAAGAAATGTTAAATTTACTGTTAATTATTGAAAATATACCTCAACAATATAAATATTGTTTTAAGCTGTTGATAAGATACATTTTAATATATATTAATAAGCTTGCGAAATATATGTTACTCTCAATTTTATTTTAAATGATATTTATAAATTTTAAATTCGATAAAATTATACTTATATTTTTTATTTATAATTCACTGAGTTTAGAAAAGGCGATCATTAAAAAATTTTTAAATATTGCTAATCGCAATTTTTGTGAATTTGTTTGTAAATAATAAGATAGATAATTTCTGAAAAATTTCAGTTGAAGCTGATAAAAATTTGAGCAATATTTACAGGCGCATGTATTGAGCATAAAAAATTTCAAAATAATATTATTGTATAGTACAACTTATTAATTTGTTTGATAAAATACCACCATTGATATATTAATCGCTTTTAATGCCATAATCATTATTTTTTTTTTTAATTAATTTCTTCTTCTTAAAGTAATAACTCAACTACATATGTGCCGCATTCTCCGATTTAAGTTTTGTCAATTTTATTCAGATGAGCTAAGTTCTATTTTTTCGCTTAGACTTATCAATGGTGAAATTAATATATAAAATATATCCAAGATTAAACTTTATGGATTAAATCAAACGAGTTAACTTGTGAATAATTTTGCTGTAATGCATTTTACTTAAATAAACCAACTAAAGATTATATCGTTAAATTGGTTAGTATCTACGCTAAGTGACAATACCTACGCTCTTTAAATGGTTATCATAGAGCATAAAAGTGAAGTAAAATCTGCCTCGTTAAACCATTAAATAAAAACTCGACATTATTTTACATACTTGTAAAAATGTTGCTTTTTGTAAATATATATCGAATAATTACATATCTTCAATTTAAAAAAATGTGTTAATATGTCATTTTAATTAAATAATACATTATTTTTCTAATATTATGTTCTTGAACAATATTAGATAAAAAATAAGTATTAAATAATATAAAATAAAAATAAATTTTATATAATCATAAATATCTAGTTATGCGAAAGTCATGAATGGGAATACCTGAGCATTACAAGCTGATAAAATATAGAGATATTTTATTTATTTATACTTTTTATTCTCACACGTGTGGAAGATTCATATATTACTTTAACTTGTGACATAATCACGAGTATTGTCTTCATTAAATGTAAACCTGCGAACGTGTGTAATCAATCATACACATAGATCATTGTATTGTTGTATGATCTATTGAATGAGATACATGTACACACAACTCATTTACTGGTACGTTATTGTACATAAATGGCGATTGCATTACATTATTATAGTTTTATTTAGTTTGATCAAAAGAGTTAAAATAAATATAATTTACGATGACCTCAAATTTTATTTCAACTATTAAATTGTGTTAAGAAAATGTTCTTTGTTATCATTTTACTTTATTATTTTATATATTTTGTTAAATAATATTGAAAATGCTGTTAAATAAATAAATAAAATTAATTAAACAAGATTTAATAATATTACTTTCTTATTTATATAAAAAAATTTTAAGTAATAAAATAGAATAAATAATCTTATGTTCAATAAATAATTGAAAATAAATTCACTAGAAATTTTATTTTTAACTATTAATTTAGTCTAATTAGTAAACATACTTAAATGCATCAAATTTATTTTTTATTGACCGCTCTAATACTCTCAATAATTAATTGCTAATCAAATTGATAATTAAAATAGTTAGCAAGACTTGTTTTAAATAAATTTGAATAATTTTCTAATTAAAGTTATACGTCTTGTTATTAATTGATTCATTTAAATAATTTCAATTTGCAGTAAAATTGCAAATGAATAAAATTGTTTAAGAAAAAGTAATCGAACTCTTAACTTGTCATAATTCTATATATTAATTTCACACTCATTTGTGATCAAATTAATACTTTGTAACAATATTAATTAAAATAATTACAATGAGTTTTTGTTGAATGAATAATTATTAGCCAATTAAATGCAGAGCTTATTAAAAATAATTTAATTCACAATTATAATTGGTCAGTAACCTACTGTCTGTGAGTTGTACGTTAACACATAATAATTAACAGATATAATTAAATAAATATTTTTAACCCGCTTTACAGATGAATCATAGCTTCTTAGTGCCAAGTTTCGATCCAGACATCTATACTCTTTTGCCCGGTCACTCGGTCAACTTTATAAATAAACATACTTCATGACTACTAATTTTAACAAACTACTAAATAATTATTTGTTAAAGCTAATTATATGATATGCATAAACAAACACAGTTAAGTAGATAATTATTGCTATCTTTTGTAAATACGTGGGCGAAAACAACAGGATGTTGACAATTTTTTACTCACAAAAGAGCTTTTCATTTCTACATAAAGTGTTCATTGTCTAAATATCAACAGCGATTAGATTTAAAAATTTTAGTTCATTTCTAATATAATATTATGGAAAATTATCGAACTATTTAACAAGCAGGTAATTATGTAATCATAATTACGTTTATTGAAGCTACTTATATGCTCCATATCTTTTAATTATAATTCATGACTTTTAACTTCTGATTATTGAAAGTGGCTATAAATTAATTAATTTAAATTAGTTAATATATATTTATTTATAGTAATTAATTATCGATTTAAATTTAAATTAATTCTATTTAACAATTGAATTTTGTTGTATATTTGTTTATACATTTATTTTGGTTTTTTTTTTTTTTTTTTTTAGTATGTTATTGACGATGTGGTGTAAAATGAATGAATTTTTAACAATTGTTATTAAATTTCACAATGACATTAAAGTTAGCAGTCACTTGACCACTTTTCAATTTTATTTAAGAAACAAATTTGTTCCAAAAAATTATTTTAAGAAATTGCATTTTTTATTTTTTAAAATTTCTAAATGTCAATTTAAAAAAAAATTTTTTTTTGCCATAATTTATTTGTTACAATAACTCTTTAAATTGTCAAATGTCTGCTAAATTAATTTTCATAATTTCACATCATATTACTTAAGCCTTTAGTATTAAAATGACCTATATTTAAAATAATAACGATTACCATCAAGAAATTTTCAGCATTTCATAATGGAACACTTATAAGATTGCCAAGTGTCCGTGGTCTTTTTTTTTTTCCATTAAGGTTTAATATATTTTAATAAATCTGGTCGATTTTAGTGATACTCAGTGTCAGAATAAAATTAATTTTTCATTTTCATTAACAAAGATTATTTGTTTTTTATAATGGGATTTATTCGAAGAAAAAAATATTGTTTTTTTTTTTTAACATCAAAACTTAAGTGTTAAATCTGGAACAAATAATAAATTAATTAAATAAATAATTAACACCTAGTTAAATGTTGTATTTAACTACTTCAAAAAAAAAATATAAAAGATTATTTCAAAGATGTTAATATAAGAAAAAAATTTCGTAAATTTTGGTAAGTAAAAATAATATCAGAAAATTAATAACTATTACGAAATACTTGTGTAAGAATTAGCTCACATTTAAAGACTTTATTTTTTAAAATGAACAGTTTAAACTATTCTCTTCTTTTTTAAGTAATAAAAGTAGTTTAGACATCGACGTCAACAAACAAATATTTATTCTCCATGATTGTTTAGATTCTGGCTTCATGTAGAACAACATCAGCAGTAATCCATTTATTAGTCGGTAATGCTCTTATATGTAGTGACAAATGAAAGCTAACATTGTTAAGTAACACACCTTAACGCCATAATTACTCTCAATTTTTAGATAATTAAAAAATAGAATAAAATTCAACACAATATTTTTTACACTTAATAAATTTTGATTAATAATAATAATAATAATAATTATTATTATTGTTGTCTAATTAAATTTATACGTTCGAGATAATAAAATTACGTCAAAACTTAATAAATCAATGATTGGTGCATCGAATAATAATTAAATTTAAATTTAGTAAAAACTCTAACGAGCTAAATGAAATGTTGAGGTTATCCTTTAAAATTACTAAAAAGAAAAATTTATTGTCCGGTTGCTATTTCAACGCCAATATATGTTGTTTTTTAAATTAAACAGTGCATTGACACCGGTTTATTTTTATTAAAAAAAAGGACCTGTATTTATAAGAGTAATAAATTAAAATTATATATAAAAATTATAATAAAAATAAATACAAGCAAGTACAGAGAAATTTACTTTCAAGGACAAGATACTTTCAATAAAAAAAAAAAAATTCTCCAAAATCTATTGTTTGTAACAACAAAAACACTTACCCTAATGTGGCTTGTTATGTTAATTAACAGTTGATCCTCCAATCCAAATGTACTCATGTATTTAAAAGATAATTATTTATTTATTACTGAGACATCACAACATAAAAAATTTTTATTAATTATCAATAAAATTTTTTTATTTTATATAAAATATGAAATGTTTTGATGTATAATTTTATTGCTGTTATTATTATTATTATTATTATTATTGCTGTGAAATTTACAACACGATTGAAGATATATAAACAGTTGTAGTAATTATTGTATTAGTGTGTACGCCAACGATCCAACGGTATCCTAGTGCCATACCAGAGTAAAAAAACGAGAATGAGAAGGAGACGTCTCTAATATTTTATTGTCGCGCACACTCACCTCTATTTCACGATTCTTTGACTGAGAAAAAGAACACTAAAAAATATATTTTTGCTAAAAAAAACTATCACTGTAAAAACAAGTGTTTGTTTTTTTATTTACTTTAGTTATTGTCTTTACTCCTTTCTCACTTCCTTGCGTTTGGGTTAACTCGACAGCGTCTCTAACTCTGAGAATGACGATTATAACTATAGACTATGGCACTACCACCGAGACGAACCACGACCAACCACGACTAGCATCTCTCCCATTTCACTTGACAGACTAATGTCTACACTATATTACTCATTTGTATAAGTTTACAAGTACATTTGCAAATATGTTTATAAATATATACATACATTCACTTATATTCGAGTTTTACAATGTAATAGTGCATGCCAAGCTGACACACTTGTGCTGCTTTCGCGGGAAAAACAAAAATATTAGCTGCCACCTAGCGTTAAATAATAATTGAATTGTAATTTAGTTTTTTTTTTTTTTTATGGTTTTATTATTAAAATATAAGTAATTAGTAATAAAAAAAAAAAAAGTTTATTTGTAATAAAAGTTTGTTAAATTATTATGACATTAAAGTTAGCATTTTTATTTTTATTTTTATTTTTAAAAATTTTTACATGCCAATTTTTTTTTCTACTTTTTTTTTTGCCATAATTTATTTGTTAAAAAAATTCTTAAAATTATCAAATATCTACTAAATTAATTTTTATTAAATTATTAATAAAATATGATACTAACAATAATTAGACCATTTACCTATAAACTTTTATTAATAAAAAATATTTTTGCAAAATATAAAAATTATTTATATAAATTAAACTTTTTTAAATTTGATGAAATAAATTTTTTAGAAGTAGAGTATATAAAAATTATCAATTATAATTATAGTTTGATTTGTACGTAGCTATTGTTGTTAACTGCGAATTAATTGAGTAGTGAAAAATTATTAATGAACAAAATCAAAATATCGGTTATTTTTGTGATTATAAAATTTTACGGATAAACAACTGATGTAAGAAAATTTTGCGAAATTGAAAATTGTCATTGAATTTATTGAAAAAATTACTCTGAATAATATAAAAATCATAATGTAAACTTTTTATGACTTATCATTAAATGTAAATAATGGAAGAATTTAAATTATTTGGATGAAAATTATTAAAAATAATTATTTTTTCTTTCCTCTTTCATTTGAAGAACGACCTTGATAACCGGTTGATTTTTTACGACGATACACTTTTCCATGACTAATAATTGGTTTTGGAGAAGTGGAAATCGTAATAGCGGAAGAGCGAGTATGATTATCGTGAATTTGATCGGATGATTTTATTGTTTTTTCGTCGACTTTGGTGGTTGTGTCATCATTTTTGTTTGGCCCTACGATAAAAATTGATTTCAATAAATCAAGAATTTAAAAAAATTAAAAGCTAGAAAAAAAAGGCTAAATGACAATTCGCATAATTACAATAATTTAATTATATACTCACGATCATTATCATTATCATTATCAATTGGCTCTGGACTTGAGCTTTTAGAGCTCAGCGGCGAATAAAAAGCTGTGTCTCCATCTTCATTACTTTTCGGAGAGTAATAATCTTGTGATTCTTCGGAATATTTTTTTATTAAATGTTCATTTCCATTTAATCTTTTTTTCTATAATATTTATTTTATTTTTAGTATGATAGTATAAATTATTATTATTATTGTTACAATAAAGCTAATAAAAAATGTAATTTATGTAAAGCGAAATAAAAGCGAGTTGTCATATAGCCAGCCAAAAAAAAAATAAAATCTTACTTCAAGGAAAGTTTCATACTGTTGCATCATCAAATTTTGTTGAGGATCTGGTTCCAAATCATCTACAATATTTTTTATCGAATCAACGTCTTTCAGTAACTCCTCAACTTCTGCCTGTATTTCTTGTTCATCTTCATCAGGTATCTCATCATCAGATCCATCTAATTCTCGATTATTGTCTTCTTGCTATAATAATAAAATTACATTCTTATTATTTAGTTCTTATTAAGGGGGAACACCACTGTGACGATAAAAAAAAAGAGGTGATTTTCGGAAATTTTTTTGACAGGGAAAATAAAGGAATTTGGGGATCGGATTTTTTTTTATTTTATTAAGAGTACATTAAAGATTATTACTCTAAATTTTTATTAAAAAATATTTAATTATTACAAAGTTATTAACAATCTCGTCGAGCACTAGAAAAAATTTCCCCCTCGGTTCGATAACTTAAAAACTTGAATTTTTAAAAAAATGCCAACTGATTGAAAATTTTTTACTATTCTTACTGATTTTTTTTTGTTTCAACCCGGCTAAAAAAGTTTTTTTAATTCCGTGCGTGCGACGATTACTACATTCTTACTGATTAAAAAAAAAATTTGGGTTTTTATTTTCAGATGATCCGTTTTTGAGTTATCGAACCGACCATGGAGGGGGAAATTTTTTCTAGTGCTCTACGAGATTGTTAATAACTTTGTAATAATTAAATATTTTTTAATAAAAATTTAGGGTCATAATCTTTAATGTACCCTTAATAAAATAAAAAAAATCCGATTCCCAAATTCCTTTGTTTTCCCTGTCAAAAAATTCCCTTAATGAATACTGAAATGATTATACGTACAATTTTAAAACTTTTATCATCATCTTCAGATGGATATTCAGAAGCATTCGAATCAATCCTTGATTTAAATATTTCATATTCAGCATCAGATTCGTCAGATGATTGAGAATAATCTGAGCTGACTTGTGAAAATCTGCGTTTAAAATCTCCATCCACGCCGGCAATCAATGGTTCTGTTACTGGTGTTGGTTCCTATAAAAAAGAAACTAGTGACTTAAGAACTTCATTTATTGATTGATAAATAAATAAATAAATTTAAACATACAAATACAATAATAAATTCAATCGAGGACCAAATAAAAACAATACAAATAAACTTACAGTTTCGTTATTGGTGTTCAAACGAACCCTCGTTGGCGATGGCGAGGATTTCATTTTACAAGCATCAAGACAAGACAGACTGGATAAAGTAATTTGAATCGACTTCAATAAACTTCTCTTCGCTTCATTTATCCGTAAACTTCTGTCCTACACCCCCCACCACCACTACGATATTATTACATTCAGGATACCTCAAAGGATATAATATAATTATATAGTCTACACAAAGGTCTAGAGTCTAGACAATTAAACTATCTACAGCAAACATTTATCACAAACAATAAATAAAAAAAGTCATCTTACCCGTAAATTTGGTTTTATTTTTCTCATTCTTTTACCACCATTCAATCTGATTACTCGCAAGCGTCTTCGTGTTTTTTGCATAGATTTAACCTGTTGCAATAAATTATTTTAAATATAAAAAAAAAAATTACTTTTATTTAAAATAACAACACAAAAAAAATTTAAATAAAATAGTGGATGATACATACAATGTCAACCGGTTGAATCTGAGGGTATCCAAAAACCCAAGCTCCAATGTTCCATGTTAATCTGAAGCTACGTAAAACAACTAAACTTGGTAGAAAAAAGATCCAAGGTAAAGGTCTAACCAATTCTATCGTTTTAAATAATTTTCCATCTTCCTCAGCAATTACTTCACTGTAGGGTAAGCTCCATTGTGCTGTTTTTTCAACAATATTTAAACTGCGATCGATAAATCTTATCAGCAATTGTCCTATGGTCAAATGAGATATTTTATCTAAAGACCAGGCGATTGCATCACCGACACTCTCAGCCATTTTTAGTATCTGAAAAATTAATTTAATACTTATTATTCATAATACGCAAAACTCAAATAAATATACTAAATTAAATTTAACAATTCCTAGCATATACGGTTTAGATAGTAAATTAATTTTTGATATACGCACTCTAAAAGACCACAACGACATTTTGATTATCTTAAGAGGACTCTGTAACACGAGACAAAATACTTTAGACAGTAATTAATAATGAGGGATAAATGATAAATAAACAATAATAATAATAATAATAATTATTATTATTATTATTATTATAGATAATTTATGTATCTCTGCATAGCCTTTGACGACCTTTCAATCAACACTTTACTCTTTTATTTTTGTATCCTATTCTTAACCGCACAATACAAGTTAAATCCTTGTAACATAATTACATAGAATTTTTATCTTTAGTAAATACAACCCAATCAAAAAATAAAAAAAATAAAAAAAATAAAAAAAATAATAAGAATAATACCGGCTAAGTTTTGGCTTATCTAACTATTTAAGAATGTCTCATTTAAGAAAAAAAAAATCTATTTATAAATATGCGTACTCTTAAGAACTTAACGAGCAAGTACAAAGTTCGATGATTATTTACAAATACATTCCGGTGATTTTAATCAATTAATCTTCCGTAAGCTGAACTTATTTTTTTCTTCAACCAACAATCTTCTATTTTTAATAATTTCACAAGATATTTTAAGAATACCCATTGAAAAATTTTATCGTGAATAAAAGATTATTCTGTTAAATTATATTTTTTTAAAATATATATTTATGAATATCGTTCTTTAATATAATTATCAACATATTTTGAGTAACACCGTTATCGTATTTTTCTTAAAATCCTGTTGACCATTGACTCATCATAACTTAAGATAAAAAAATATATTAAATATAGAATTAAAATTAACGACTTACTTATCTTGTATTATTTTTTTGTTGTTGCTATCGATTCGCCTGTGTAAAATCAATATCAATATAAGGTCTTCTAAGATGATGCCGGTTTACGTTTGTCGTAACTGCGTCAAGTCAATGGTTTACAAATACTATGAGCTTATTTGAATTCCAGATTAAGACTGGTGAAAATTCTAGACACAAGTTAAGTACGCACTACCAAACGTGAAGAAGACACAAGACGCACTGGCATGACGATCTGCAAGACAACAAAAATGTTTAGTATACTTATATGTAACTTATGTGGTGCCTGTATGTGTACACGTATATATCTTACCGAATGCTTTTAAAATGAATAGGAAAAACAAGTGGGGAGACCTTTGACCAAAAGTTAATAAGCATTACGATTCGCGCCAATATTGTTTACAAATATGCGAAAACAAACGAAGATATACGATTTACTTAGGCGGGTGAGTTTAAATTCAACAGTTCCAGGTTTTAACTTACTAGTTAAGACAGCCGTACTAATACAATATATATTAAGACCTATCATTAAAACTTATAATGTAAAATAATTTTTAAAAAAAATCCATAAATTATTGATTTTTTTACAGAGTTTTTGGAGTTCTTTTTCATAGCATCAGCTGTAGAGTGACACAGTTTTAATAGAATTGATATGCAGGAGTCTTAAGTATTTCTTTGCAGCTGCGCAGAGTTGTTAGACTGCTAAACTCCTTATTATTAGAATCTGCAATGTCCAGTTACGTTAATATAAACGCGCGGCAAGGGTTCTTTAGAGAATTAAAAAACAATTTCATTTACACATAGTTTAACGATTATAATATTTTCAAGTTTTTTAAATCAATCGTTGTCTTCTTTAGGATTTTATCTTGCACAACCATATTTTACACCAACGATTATGCTATGGGTGAAAGAAAACGCGAACGTGTTCCAAAAAGGTATATTATTTTTATTCATTTTTCATTTTATTTTAACTCGAGAATTGATAAAAATTATTGTGATAAAAAAAAATGAAAAAAAAAATTGGAGATGCCGGGGATCGAACCCGGGGCCTTTCACATGCAAAGCGAACGCTCTACCACTGAGCTACATCCCCAAGATTAAAAATTTGTCCTTCTAAGTTTGTATATGAATTTTTGCATTACCAACAATATGAGAATAATAATATCAATTCTATTTTTTACGTCTAAGTGGACAATTGAATGTTTTTTTTTTATGAAAATCAAGTTAGCTGACATTTATAAATTTTTTATCGAAAAAATTTCAATTAAACAATTAAAAAAAAAAATATCACATATGTTAAAAACTTGAAAAACTATAAGTGCAATTTTTTAGAAATATGTTTTTATTTGTTATTTGATTAAAAAAAAAAAATCAAAATTTTTAGACGTCTGCTAATTTCAGTGTAATTTTTTTTTTTTTCGTAATTGTATAAATAAGTTTTATATAAATTAAAATTTTGAAAAAATTAGTACATATCATGCTTTTTGAAAATACAAATCAAAAATATTTAAATAAATATTTTTTAAATTTATTATTCATGGTACTAATAGATTTTACTAACTGATTAGCTTAGATATAGTAGTAAATCTTTAACTATTATTAACCTCGGTAACTATAAATTCTCTAGCTATTTATGAATAATTGTAATGTTTAATACTTAGCAATAATTTCATGATAATATGGTTTATATGTGCAGCTAATTTATTGTCGTTGCCATTATTTTTACACTAAATTATTTTTTTATGCTACATACTCAAAGCTGTTTATAACAGACTGTCAGAGATCAACTTTAATCGATAATCGCTATAACCAATTACATATATAAAGATGTTAAAAAAGCCTACTATTATTGAATAAAAATTTTATAATGAATAAAAAAATCAATGGACTGGCAACTTTACTTATTGTTGGTTCAACAAAATATTGTTCTTGCTTCTCTTTATTCAATAATCTTTCAATTCTACACAGTAAAAAATTTTGCGTCAAAAAATTTTGTGTTAAATATTTAACACTTTTATGGGTAAATTTAACATTAATTCTGTTAAATTAACACAGAAAAATGTTAAATTAACACAAAAAGTGTTAAATATTTAACACAAAATTTTTTACTGTGTAGATATAATTAAGAATTCCTTCAAGCTATTTTATTCTATAAATAAGACAAGGCAATTAAAATTAAAATAGTAATTTTATAAAGTAAAATCGGTAAAGGTCTATATAAGCTTTAATGAAAATTAACTGCTTTCATCGGTTCATTACTTAACTAATTCGGGCCACTATAGTTACGTGATTTGCAAGCATTAAGTTCGATTGAAATGAACCGCAGAATAATCAATTCGTTACGGATGAAAATTAACTTTTGATAATATATCTTAAAAATTATCGTATGACCTCATTGTTATGTAGAGCGATTTTGTGATAATGATAACACTATTTTTGACATTGACTTGTTATCAGTTAGTATAATAGAACAAACCTGTTGACAGTCTGAATATCAATTTGGAGTATAGTAAAAAATTTTACAATTATAATAAATAGCTACATTAATAATAATAATAATAATAATAATCATTGTTATTATTATTATATTATGAGCGGACTAATTAATATTCATTTCATAAAGAAAAAAAATAAAATAATTGAAGTATTTTAAAATAAAAATAGACGAGTCGATGAGATAAGAGACCTCGCGTGTCTCAAGAAGTCTTAACACAATAAAAGTTCTAGTAGACGCGTTTATGCGAGATTTAATCACGCAACTTAGTGGTAGAATTATAATTGGGCTGGTGGATTTATACGAGTGTGTAGCGATAATTGTGCGTGTCAAGACCTGAATAGTAACACACGAATGTTTGGCTCGCTACTTAGTGGTCTTACGAGCCAATAATATCTCTACTTACCCTAAATATGTAAATTTATTAGGGGGATGTTTAAATTGAGGTCACCAGGTCGGATTCTGACCCTGCCTACTGAACATAACAGTGCTGAGCCGTAACTCATGAGGAATGATGACTCCGTTTCTCAGACTTTTGGTCAACGGCATAGATCACGACTATGTACAGATACCTAATTGTTGAATTTATTTATTTAGTCCAACTCTATTGCTTATTGATTTTTAATAGATTTCATAGAAATCTAACTATTGAGATACATATCGACGTTCTAATTAGCAAATTTTCTAACTCCATTTCAGAGAATCTTCTATTTGTATGAAAAAACAATTAGTTCAAAATTTATTATCACTTTAAAAAACATTAAAGTCTAATAGAGGTACAATATTTTAGTTCAAATCATTCAAATAATTTACAATTAGACCATTGCTTCATCAAAATATTAAAAAATCACCCTCTAAAAAATAAGGAGTTAGGAGACCAATTACTAATTAGACCGTCGATATGGTTCAAAAGTATATATAGTATATACGTATGTGTATATATATATATATATATATATATGTCGGAGGAACATTGTTAGGGGCGGTAGAGTCCATTGGATTCGTTTGTTCCATGTTTATTACTTTACAATAATAAATATAACACTGATTTTAATTTAAAATATAATGTACACTAACTCGTATAATAATACTACAGCTACAAATATTCTTAATACAATAATTCGGATGATAAGTAATTATTTAAATACAATTAATATATAAACTAAAAGCGCTGGGTAATAAGTAAAGACCCAGAATGAATCAGGGGTCAGCTCAACCAGCACTACTCATCTCAGTACCCTAAGTACTTAATTCTTCTCTCAAAATATTTTGACAGCCCTTATTGTCTGTCGATACCTCTAACTATATACCTTTTAATCATAATAAACATAATCGGCTTAAGTCATAAATAATAACTAAATATCTTATGTTTTACAATTCTGCGTACAATTTTTAGAAAGACAAACTAAAATTTTGGGAATTTTCCTGTCTCTGAGAAAATTCAGCTTGATACTATCTCCAACATATATAAATTGTTGGATTCTTTGAGCAAAATAAGTCCAGTTACAAAACTTTTAGTTTTAGATTTTAGATATTTTGTCCTAGAAATATTTATTTTAGAAAAGTAGTATATTATATTTTATTTTATTAGTTTTGAAATGTGAAAAACACATTTAAGGCACATTTGTGCAGCTAGAATAAGAAAGCCTGGATAGGCTTAATTTTATGACCTTAGGTACTTGAGTTGCACAAAGGACTCCTTATTTTACTATGTACAGTACAACCAAATATTACGGTCTTAGTTAAGAAGAAAAACATGTGTTTTACTAAGGACAATACAGAGTGTTGAACCTCATAATAGAATAATTTTAACATGATAGTTAGTCTACGACTAAACTCTGTCAACTAACGACACTTCTCTCGATACGATTCTTTTAAAATAAAGATTCTATTCAAATCACTCTATGTGGATAATAATATTGTATTTACTCATTATTTATTATCAATCCTATCCATAACTTCCTACATAAATATATATGTCGGAGAATAAAGTACAGCGGAGTATTTTCTGACAAAGTGATGAGAATATTCTTTAGGGTATTTCTATTTTTAGTAATTTTAAGAAATGTACTATTACTTTTAATATTTTATAAAATAAGGTTTAACAAAATTTTTTTATTGCGGTAGGCTTAGGCCTAAGTAGGCACATGGTTTTTCAACGTAGTCGGGATCCCAGGGCGATAGGGGTATCATAAAATTAATAAGGAAAAGGGAAATTTGCAGCAGGCAGACTAAGTATTTGAGAATGGTTTTGGAAAAGACAGTCTTGCTTTGGAATTGAGATTGAACAGACGTCCTGGTGATCACGAATTCATTATTTCCTAAGTCTCGGTCTATCGTAAGTTATTTTTAATATTGTTTGCGCTCTAAATTAAATTAATTTTATAACGTATTTTGTGTACTACTGTGTTAATAATGAGTGATAATTAACAATTATAAATTAATTTATCATACGAGTTTATTTGCTCATTCTTATTAATTGATCTTGTTGTAATTGTGAATATTAATTAATTGTAATAATAAAAATGAGTGAATCACAAAATGCTGAATCTCCAACAAAAGTTCCTACCTCTCCGGCATATATATACGGTATAGAACGCGACTTGTCACGACAATAGCGTTTCTAATTTATAATGGATCTTTTCCAAACTTAAAATACTTATTCTACAGACAAATACCAAAGTCAAGTTAAAAAATAAGCTTAATCGGTCAAGTAGTTCAGAAATGACAGGGTTTAAAATTTTTCTGTTGGAATTATGGATGTAAGTAACGGTGTATCTTTTAAATGAATGAAGATTTTAATTGTTGGAAGATTGTCTTTCATTAAAATAGAGTTTTGGAAGTGTATCTGAACAACACCAAGGATTAGAGAGAACTAACTGTTTACAACTAAATTACTACAGTTGTCCTTTTACATCTTGTAACATTTAGTGTTTATACAGTCTATACAATGCTCGAATTGTACCTAGTTTTATGACTTGTAGTTCGAGTACTTTAATCTATATTTCTCGAAAATAATAAAATAAAACCTTTTTCAAGAGTGACAATGTGTTCACCAAATGTTCCTCAAAAAGGAAAATTTTTACTTTCAAAATAAAACAAACTTAAAATATAATATCTTAAAAGAGAATGATTTTTTTAGACGAACTCAATATTTCAACATCGTAGAAACTCATATTTTGGTAGATTCTTCTACGGATAATTTTTGAATAAAAGAACTTATCAAATTTCTGAAAATTTAATCTTGAAGCTCATCAAACGAGCTTCATTTCCCACGTCATTTCCTTTTCCAAGACTGAAAATAATCTACTCATCTATAGGAATTTAATGAACTGTTATTAGTGCATTCGTTTCAACGATAATACAAGTTTTTCGTAATTTTATGTTTTAGGCCTTGCACTGATTAATCGATTATTGATCAAGTATCCATTAGCAAGTAAAATTGTCATTGATGACCTCAGTAGCTCCAAAATGAAAAAATATGATAAAAGTTAATGAACAAATGATCAATTTTAGTAAATCGGACAAAAAATTTGGCAGCGGTGGGATTCGAACCCACGCCTCCGAAGAGACTGGTGCCTTAAACCAGCGCCTTAGACCGCTCGGCCACGCTACCGCCCTTTTTTTGGCCAGGTCTCTGGTTAAACTTCGATTGATGATTCTTGAAGGAATTGTTTACATAAAACCAAAAAAAAACTGCCCTTTTTTTGGTTGGACCTCAGGTTGGAGATCAATTGATGATTCTTCAAGAAATTGTTTGCATTCCATCAACACTCAATGACATGGTAGCGTGATACATTGACATCGGTCCAGACCCAAGCGACCTCGAAGAGACATCGCCGGGGATCTCACGTCAATACAGCTCGTTCGTGCATGGTAGTCGTTAAATTTTATATCATTTCCAACATTATGTACATGGATACTAGAGTCTGAAAGAATTTTGCAAAAAAGATATCGTATACATGGATTAAGAGAAAGTAAGAAGGATAGTATGTACGATGGGGTGAAAAAGGGTGTGAAAACTTTTGTATACAAGGTAGATCGATCCATCTCGTCTGGAAGACTCCCACAATTTATATCTTTCTCTCTCTCCTCTCTCTTTCTCTCTACTGCTTTGTCTTCTCGTTTATGTAGAGGCATGCCGAGCCTGTACGTACCACCCTCTTCCTGTTCTTCGACGTGGATCCCTCGACCCCACCTTAGTTTGCTTCCAGGGCAACTTGGACTGCAAGGTATCTCAGTTTGCGCTGGGCAACCACCCAGGTTGATTTACCTAAAACAATAACTAAAATTAGTTATAAAAGTTTCAAAATGTAATTGTAAAAAATTATGTAGTAATTAAAAATAAATAAAAATATATTTACAGACGTAGATCATCGCTACGAGGAGCTCAAAAGTCCTCTTCAGATTCTGAGGTAGCTCTGTTAAAATTTCGAGATCGCAAGACTAGAGCTCGGGATTTACTCCCATGGCCAAAAGCTCTCGAAACACTCACGGTCGACGAACTCGCACGTTACAGACGTAGGCGAGTACCAGATAGTCCAAAGGACACCTTGGGAGCTCGTCACTATGGAGACAATTACCATGAATTCGAAAATCTTTCCACGGAATATAGGAGAGCTTTTAAAGCTACCAGTGAAGAATCACTATTGAGAGCCGACGATGAGAAAATTTTTCCTCACAATTTTACTAACAATTATTCTATTCAATCAATAAACAATCCACAAGTTAACATCAATGACAAGTCCATGGAAGCTATTGAAATTTCTCGGGTTCCTGATGTTGCGAAACGATCACCTATTCGCAGGTAATAAAAAACTGATTAAAATAAAAATAATTAATTTTTATAATGATCAATTAATTTTACTTTCTAAGAGGGACAAGTTTGAAACACGGTGGTGCATTTTATACCGACACTGAGTCAGCAAACTATAAAATATATGAAGGTATCCACCGTGCAAAACTGGCACGCCGGCCGACTTCCTTGAAGATGGAGGGAGACATGCGAACTGTCACGGAACAGTGTGAGAAGTTCATCGAGTGGTTGAACGTCAGTAGACCAGAGCTCGCACGTATACCAACTAATCTAAAACTAGAAGGACAATTTGAAACGTCTACGGAGAATCATGACCAGTATGTCCCATTCGTTGGAGCCAGAAGACCGGAAATACTTCGTCAAAGAGCTCATCTGAAACTTGAAGGAGAATCGAATTTTATTCCCGAGTATACTGCTGTTTTTAAACCTCATACTACTCGAGGTATGTCAATATAATTAACCTTTTAATTTTATTTTTGAGCTCACGTAAAAGTTTGCACATTATTTTATTTACTTACTCGTTTCTACAGAAAGAAGATCTCTAAAAGTGCCAGAGTCACACTTAAAATCTGGAGGAGAATTTACCGGCAGAACTGAGCATTATCAAAATTTTCTTGATCCACGAGGTGCAGTGCCTATGGATCAGAGTCAAGATGATGTTATCCATCAGATTGAAGATTCAAAATTGCAATTGGAACGTCAAGAACAGGAATGGAAGAAAGAAGAAGACATGAACATGCTGGTGTCCAAACTGGAAGATCTCAAAGGACCACCTCTGGGGATACCTGAATATAAAGATGCCTACAAAGTAAATATATTATTTTTATCAGAAATAAAATTTTTTATAATAATAAAATTGGGTAGAAAAAAAAAAATGAAATAATATCAAAAATTTATTTAGAACTTCCCACGAGAAAGACCAAAATTATTAAAACCCGAGGATGAAATAGGTCGCGCAGATGGCTCGAAAGTTAATTCATCAAATCCAGGAAAATTTTCAACGAAAATTGACCAGGATCCTGAGTACAAATCCATGTATCTCGATAGAGGCCAACCAATTTATCGCAAGCCACCATTGTCGCGAAGACCATCAATAGCTTCGTCAGGTTTCAATAGACGTCTAGTACCTGATTTACGACAGTATCATCCGACCAGTGAAGTTAGATCTCAGTATGTGCCTTATGGTAATGTACCACGAACAGAAACACTTAGAAGGCCAGTTAATTTACGTCCTGAAGGTGATATGAATCTTCATCCAGAGTATCGTGATGCTTATTGTACAAAACGAGACTACTCAGTCACAGATGTTAAAAACCAATATCGTGATCGTAGTCTCACTGATTTTCGTAGAAATCAAAATAATTGGCTCACTAATAATAATGATAATAATAACAGCGATGAACAACGTGGTGTAGAATATTCTGAGTGCGATCAAAATGCATTCCAAGTACTTCACTCACGAACTCAAGATGATACTGTTGTCAATAAACCGCCTGTTAGAGGGAGAAGGTAAATATCTATGACATTGAAGTTAGCAGTCACTTGACTATTTTTCAATTTTTTTTAACAAATAATTTTGTTCAAAAAAATTATTTAAAAAAAAATTGCATTTTTTATTTTTTTTTTTCTAATTTTTACATGTCAATTTTTTTTTCTCTTTTTTTGTATCATAATTTACTTGTTACAAAATTTTTTTTAATTTAACAAATAACAAATAAATTATGGCAAAAAAAATATAAAAAATTGACATGTAAAAATTTTAAAAATTAAAAATGCAATTTTTTAAAAATAATTTTTTGGAACAAATTTTTTTGTTAAAAAAAATTAAAAAATTCTTTAGTGACTGCTAACTTCAATGTCATTTACAATGAGTATTAGCTAGAATAATTACATGGATAAAAGGTGCATGCCAATTCGATAGAATTGGGAATCTGTACAAGTCAAAACAATACTATAATTATATTTCAAATCTAGATCTAAAATTGCAATTCTATCAAGCGCCCAGCGGAGCGGGCGAGTAACACCTAGTGTAAAATAATATGAAAATTAAGTTAGCTGACATGTAAAAACTTTTAGAAATTTTTTTCTATTTAAAAAATTATTACAAAAAAATAAAAAAAAACTTTCATTTGTAAAAAACTTGAAAAACTGTAAGTGCAATTTTTAAAAAATATTTTTTTGTTTTAATTTAGTTTGAAAAAAAAAAAAAAATCAAAAAATTAAAAACGTCGGCTAACTTAAGTATTATTAAAATAATAATTACCTGATTTTTAGAGGATCCAAGGGGTCAATGCAAGTATCAAGACCAACTAAATTGGATTTAACTAATCCAGCAACGGACAATCGCTCTCCAAGCCCTTCATATCGTCTTCACGTTTGCAACGTAGATGACGAACCACGAGGCTTTCTACAACAACAACGTTCGTCTCTACAACACAACTCTTCAAGCCCAATACAAGCTTCAGGCATTGACGACACAAGGCCTTATTCTCCGAGCTTTGGAAAAGAATTAAAACATTCTAATGACAACAATAATCAAGCTTTCGTTGTTCTTGACAATGCTAGTACATCAGCAGTAAAAGTACCAGAAAGCAGTAAAAAACGTTTCGATAGAAATTACAACTATGAAAGTAGTGAATCTAGAAGAAGAAGTAGAAATAAAACACCATCTAATTGGATGCCTCCATGGTATGATAATACCAATACAACATGAATAATATTTAAAAGTGCCTTAAATAAATTAATCCATTCAATTTTCTTTATATTGATTGAATTGTTTAAAAAAATAAAGATTAATTACATACCTTATACACATTATGTATGGCAGACCTTCGATACACTGATTTATTAATTACACGTAAAGATTTTTACTTTTTATTTAAACTATGAAGAATGACGTTATACTTTATTCATAAATTAATTATATACTTATATTCCGTTATAATTGCTTTATTTTAAATAATATATTAAAGTTAGCCGACATTTTTAATTTTTTGTTTTTTTTTTTTTCAATAATTAAATTAGAACAAAAAAATATTTTTTTTAAATTGCACTTAGGTACAGTTTTTCAAGTTTTTTACAAATGAAATTTTTTTGTAATAATTTTTTCAATGAAAAAAAATTCTTAAAATTTTCAAATTAAAAAAATTTAAATTTAAAGTAATTAATTTGTTAATTTTCAATAATAATAATAAAGTTAGCCGACATTTTTGATTTTTTTATTTTGCTTAATTTATTAAATTATAACTAAAAAATATTTTTAAAAAATTGCACTTATAGTTTATGAAGTTTTTAACACATTAAAAATTTTTTTGTAATAATTTTTTAATAAAAAAAAACATAAAAATTTTTAGATGTCGGCTAACTTTATTTTCATTAATTTTCACCATATAATAAAAATATACTGCGTAGTTTTTTAACAGAGAACGAAGAGTCAATTACAAAATGGCTTTCTCAGAAACCTTTCTTTTCTTTGTTGTTTACATATTCATTTTCGGTGTCGGATTTCCGTTATTTTGACTTGAGTGAACTAAAGTAAAATTCCGAGCGATGTCGTTAAGAACCGAACAGCAACGACTCTCAGACCCAACAGGAATGAATCAGAACCATAAATAAACACACTGTGTCGAATACATTAAGCATTGAACATAACCTTTTTGTTTAACTGCAGTGTTTTCAAGAAATTGTGTATTTATTAACTTATTAATTACAAAATAATTATTTTAAAAAGTAATAATGGCTGATCCCGAACTTGAAATGCTTCGACAGCAACGCATGTCTCAACTACGTTCGCAATATCAGGTAATAATATTTTTTTATTTATTGACAAGTAATGATTATTGACTTTAGCTACTTTGACATCGGAAACAGCAGACATCAAACATTTTTTATTTACAAATATTTTTTTATGTCATAAGAGTTTTATAATTAATTATTTAATAAAATATTTATCTTTTTTATATATTAAGATATTGAAATTAAGAAAAATATGATTTTAAAAATTTTATCTTTAGAAGCTCTAAAAAATTATAAATGCAATTCTTTAAAAATAATTCTTTAGAGCTAGTTAATTTTTCTAAAAAAATTGAAAAATTGTCAGGTGTCTGTTAATTTTAGAGTAATTATTTATTTAATATATATCAAATGTTCTGATTGTTAATAATTTTTTAGGGTGGTGATGAATCTAGTCAAAAAGCCGCTGAAGAACAGAGACAAAAAATCCAAGACATGAAACATTCAATTTTATCACAAGTATTGGATCAGCCAGCTAGAGCACGGCGTAAGTTAAAATAAAATTTGATATTAAATATGACTTTTTTTTTAATAAACGAGAAATTATAAATAATTATGATTATTGAGCTCTAATTATTCAACAGTGAACACTTTGTCATTGGGTAAGCCAGAAAAGGCAAAAATGGTCGAAGAAATGCTTGTTAATATGGCACAGAGAGGACAATTACCAGGAAAATTAGGTGAAAAAGAACTCATTAGTTTATTAGAAAGTGTTAATCAACAAACACAAAAAACAACAACTGTTAAGGTATTATTATCTTTAAATTAGCTTAAGTTACTAAATTAAATTGAATTTCTCTTTCTTACCATAAATAATTATGTTATTTTTATTTTTAGTTTGACAGAAGACGTGCAGCTTTAGATAGCGACGATGATTTGTAGCAATATTTAAATGAATAAATCGGTTTATTTATTTTATTTTTTTTTTTTTTTGATTAAATTTATTTAATAACACATTTTGTATCAATAAAACTCATCAAAATCGAAAACTTTTTAAATATTCCATATTTATTTAATAATAATTATCTTTTAAATGCTTTTTCTTGTCTATAAAATTCCAAAATGACATTGATTGGAATGCTCATTAAATAAATAATTTTTCATAAATAAAGCTTTTGAAATAAATAATTCTTTCAAATCACACTCACACACCAAACAATTAATTTCAATTTAAAAATGATGCCTAACAAAGTTTATCTTTATAAATATAAATGACATTAATAATACCATTTATATAATTCAATGTCGCTTGTATTGTCCTGTGAAAATTCCATACCAAAGATGCATAACTCTATTAAATGTCTCAATTATTAACAAACACTACGCTATTACCAGAATCATATGCGATTCGGAGTAATTATCGAAGTAATTTTAAATAATATACAAGACAAATTCATAAAATTTGTCACTAATGTACATGGCAATCATTTTTTCATGAGGTATTCACAAAAATTCATTAGTTAAACGCAATATATTAAAAATGTATTTCATTGTTTTTAATCTTTCTTCATATGGCTTTTTTCTGCTTCATCTGTAATTAAAAAAAAAAAAGTGCATTTAATATATATGTATATATATTTAAAAAAAAAAACATAAATAGTTCAAATATAACCTTCTTCATCTTCTTCTTCTTCTCCAGCATCTAAAATATCTGGACAACAAATTCCATACAAAATTAACGAGAAAAATAATGCTGGAAGTCCGAACACTACCATCGTCAATATAGGATTGCCTTTCCACATTGACATCAATGTTGACTTTGTTTCATACCAAGATCGATATATTTGCACTATTATATTATTTCCTCCGTATCGCTGCATTAAATTAAATATGTATTATTTTTTTGTTTTGAATAAGGTAAAAGACCCAGTTATTGACACTTGCAATTTTATTTAAATTAAATCTAATAAATCAATAAATACTAGCAACTTTGCAGTCACTTGTGAACTATAAATAAATAAAATTTTGCTTTGTTAAATAATGAATTTCGTTAAATTGCACTGTACTTTCTTAAATAATGACGTTTTTGAAGATATCAACTCATCTCGATGTTACACTCATCAAGAGCTTTCACTTGAGTACCCACATGCATTTCGATAAATTTTTCATATATACATAAATATATGAAAAAATGATGTGGGTACTCAAATGGAAGGCCTTGATGAGTGTAACATCGGGATGAGCTTATATCTTTAAAAATGTCAATATTTCACAAGATAAAAGGTCATTTCTTAATTATGTATCTAGAGATAGAGCATTTTCAAATGCAGCTTAAATACTTATCATTATAAATTGACTATTGGTGAAAATGATATAAAATCTAAAAAAGGCACAACTTCAGGCCAAAACCTATCCAACGATACCAAATTTAACCATACAAACCCATTTTATTATATAAATACACTGGCCACAAAATTTCTCTTATTCTCTTAATAATATAGATAATTTTTGAATTCTAAATTTTAAGATAATTGTTTTTTTGATAATATTTAATTTTTTTAATGAGAATAAAATTGCAAGTGTCAATCAACTAGGCCAGTGTCAATAACTGGGTCTTTTATTTTAAAACACTTTATTAAAAAATTTAAATAGTCTTACTGGTGCACTATCATTGCGTATGTGTTCCAAAAACATCTCAATAGCTTGAGCTGTTAATTCTCCTGGTTCATCGTCAGGTATGTGATGATGATTCGTTTTTGTATTAATTACTATTAAACTGGGTAGAGGCATTTCTGTCATAGCAATACTGTTGATCAATTCGCTGTTTGCTACCCAGCCGAATTGGAAGTGACTGAAAATAACAATTTATTAAACATAATATTTAGTTTAAAAAGTGCATTTTCTCTTTCTTTAGTTTATTAACTAAACTTTAATATGATTGTGATACTTCACAGTCGTTGAATTTCTTTAAAAGGTAGAAAGTTTTGTTTAAAAATCCTATTAACAAGATTTAACGTACTATACATTGTTAATTAAATAAATTATGACTTACTCGTGATATTTTTCACGTTTTTTCTTAATTACTGATTCCACCATATCTCTAAACTCCAACATATCGGGTGAAACATCTTCAACAGCATTTTCTTCCACTACCGCTAGTACGAGATTTTTATTAGTCTTAAACAACTGATGAAGATTACCCCGTGTTACTTTTGGGAATGTTGGAAAACGCTCAGCATTTACCCAAGTATATAACGTTTCATTTAATGCTTCTATTTCACTTTCATTGTGAGCTATAAGAAAAATTAATGTATATAAAATATTAAGTTTGTAATAAAATGAACTGTAAGTTATTATTTATATTACCAGTAAAATTGTAATGAGAATTCTCTTTATAGACAAAAATAACCGGTGTATTTTCTACTGGTGCATGATTACCGACAACATGGGGATGAGATTCATAAAAAAATGCATAAGGTTGAAATGCATCAGCTGTTTTATGATATAAGTTCTACAAATAAAATAAGATTAATAGATTAAATTAAATATTTATGATATTGAATTTAACTGACAACTGTGAATTTTTTTAATTTTTATAAAAAATTATTTACAAAAAAAAAAAAATGCTTTTAAAAATTATCATTAAGGGTCAGTTTTTCAATCCGAGATAAAAGTACTACTGCCAATATAATGATAAAAATAAATAATTCAGCACTTATTTTTAATTAAAATAAATAAACATTAGCCGCATATCACAGAAATATTAATCTCCAACTGTGACAACTTGCTGACTGTAAATAAATAAAGGCCATCTCTGCAACTTCCCGCTAAATCCATATCTAAGCGCTTGAAATTGCACTTGTAACGATATCGAGCTCTTCAAGCTCCAAATTACAATTTATGTGTTATTTTGAGCTCTCTGAGTTCAAAGCGGTCGCTGTTCTATGCTTTTTAGCTCTTCGAGCTCATATCTTGCGTTTGACATATCTATTTATTAATAATCTATAATTGTATTAATTAATTTAAAAACAATTTAAATGACACAACAAGAGGTTATTATTATTTTTTATTTAAATAAATGACCAAATTTATAGAGAACTAACTGAGAGCAATATCACGTCGCTAAATTATTTATTTTTTTTGTTTTTTTAATTAGATTGACTTTATATAAATAAAATTATATTATTTTATTATATTTTATCTCGGATAAAATTTTATCCCTGATTGAAAAACTGGCCCTAAGAAATTTTTTTTAATTTCCGCATATGGAATTTTTTTATTAATATTTTTTTGACTGATAATTTAATCGCTATAAAATTCTAAAAAAATTTCTAATGTCTGTCAACTTTAATGTCATAAATACTTTACCCATAAAGGTCCAAATTTTTCTCCGACGTACAAAAAGTATAAGTCATGCTGATTTTTTATAGTGTTAAAACTTTGTCGTTTTGTTATTTCTTGAACGGGTGGGCCACTTAATCTCAATGCAAATTTAACTATTTCTTCTTTTGTCCTATCGCCATTATAGGTAAAATATTGATCACCTTTCAAACTATTGATAAAAATAATTAATAATATTAATATTCATAAAAAAAAACCCACTATTAAATATTTATGTAAGTCTATATTATAGTATCAGGTGATAAAAGTGAGCTCATTTCGAGTTTTTTTTTTTGTGTTTTAAAGACCTTGAAAATGAGGACACCTAGACACCTGATTATTGAAGAATATAAATAATAAATAACAAACATACAATAAAATAGTAGGAAATCCACGTATTTTGAAATTTTGAGCCACATTTGTAAATCTTGTACAATCAACTCTGCCGACTTTTATGGAAGTTGCATAAAGATGTTGAGCCACATGTGCCCAAACAGGATCCAGTCTTTTGCAATGAGCACACCAAGGCGCATACATCTAATTAATTTAAATTTATGAAATGGTTACTCAATTTTATCAATTAATCGTTCGATAAATTTTTCATTCATTTTTACCGTAAATTCGATTGAATTAATTTTGTCTTACCATCACCATCCAATGTCCATCCTTATAAATATCTAGGAATCTATCGCTTAATTCAATAACCCTGGATGCTGCCGTATTAGCAACGAATGCTGCAAAAAATAAATACTCAATATTATTATGATTATTTTTTTAACAATAGAAAGTAATTAAAATCTTATTATTCAAGTTAACAATATTATTCATATTGTTTTTGTTATAATAATTATTATTATTATTATTATTATAAAAACAAACAATGATTTTTTGAAAGAAAATGACAGCTGATTATCGATCGTCTCAATAAGGTTATAGTTACAAAGGTAAACAAAATTTTTAGTAGAAAAAACCAAATAAATTGTTTCACACATGATAATCAAATAATTTTTTAATATTTACTTACCACAAAAAAATGTAAAAAAAATTAATTTTAGTAAAGAGACCATTATTGTGAAGACTAGGAGAGTATTTTAATTATTTGGCTCATTAAATATAATTCACATCAAACTTTACAAGTAAATTTATTTTATCAACATCTGTATGAATTATTGATTTGTATTATCGTAGAATAGTAATACATTGTCGAAAATTACACTGGAAATACATTATTAAATTAAAAACATACAGTGGATTCTAATTTATATGTTTTATATGTAAATTAGAACTACCAACTTAATAAAGTGATTATAGATTTTGTGGTTTATAAATTTGGTAACTTGTCTAATTTATGGCGCGAACTAGATAAATATTCAAAATTTATTTTAACGAGGTAGTTTTTTTTTGTAAAGGTAATTTTTTTTTTTAAATTTATTAGTTAAATATTAATTTATATATATATATATATATATATATATATATATATATGTTACCATCAAAAACAAGAAAAATAAATAATATTGAAGTTATTAGCCGTCAGTTGTCAATTTTAAAAATTTTTTTAACAAATCAATAACAATAAAAAAATGCTTCTAAAAATTTTCACTTGTTATTTCTATTAATTTTCACATGTGGAACTTTTTAATTAAATTTTTCTTATAATAATTTAATTGCTATAAAATTATAAAAAAATTTTTAATATCTGTCAACTTCAGTGTCTTAAAAATAATAATTAAATTAATGGCTTAGGAAAATTTTTTTGAAGAAATAAGCAAGCATTTATTTAATAAAAATTAACATTTATTCAAATTTCAGTAACAAAAATATAACAAACTTATAAAATAAAGTTGAACATAGATATTTACACATTTAGCTTTTGAGCAGATTTTTTCCTTGGTTTAGGTACCGGTTTTTCACTTTCAATAACAAAAGTAACATCACTTCTCACAGAGCTTTCACTTTCAATATGAACATCATCATTCTTATCAAGAACATAAGTCCCTCCACTTTCTGGACTACTTTCATGTCGTTGATCTCTAAAATCACCTTGACCTAACTCTAGATCATGACTATCTTTAAATTTACCTCTATTCCTGGTTTCTTTTAAATCCTTGACACGAATATTAGCCCAAGATCCAGTTAATACTCTCTCAGAAACAGTTTTTAATCTTCTACGATTACAATATGCACCATCGGACATTGTTTTAATATCAACATCTTCATTATTGGATATTGATGCACGCTTGTAACTTCTTGAACTTTTGCATTTAATGTTTTTTTCAGTATTACGAGAATCGATATTAAAATTAGAATTATTTAAATCAGTCAATTCAAATATCTCCGATCTAGAACCGGAGGTTGAATTATCTTCTAATGTTGAAAATAACGGAGGGACATAAGGTATCACTTTCTCTTGGCGATGATCTAAATAACGGGGGCTCTCTACTTCAAAACCTCGTATTCCGTTGGCTTCGATATCGTACAATGTTCGTGTGGTAGCACTTTGATTGTGGCTATTTGAAAGAATTTTATCAATTTTAGCAATTATACTACTGAGTCTATTGGTGCTGCGTGTTTTAAATTGTCGTTCTGAGTCGTTGAACAACTTTAATCTAGAACGTAAATCTTCACGGCTGTCATTATTCATAATCCCAAAATTTTCTTTGCTTTCTAATTTCATTGAATCATAAGATTTTCTGTGTGAAAGTCTCGGTGCTGTAAATCTACCACTTGAATCAACTAATTTTATTTCCGTATCGTGATTGTTTTGTTGATAATTTATGTCTAGTAATTTTAATCCAACAGATTCACCAGTTGATTGTTTATTGAAACGTAATATACATGCTTCAGTTGCAAACCCAAATACTGAATACGCTAAAGCGTGATCATACGGATGATAATCGACACCAGTGATAACTCCGTCAGCTAAATTTGTTTGATAAACAGCTAAATGCTTGCCCGAATCTGTATTCCATATATTTAATGAAGCATCTTCATCACCACAAAGAATTAGACTGCCACACGGAGATATTCTCGCTGTTGTTTGTACTCTATAAAAATAATTATAATATTTAACTGTATTTAGATTTTCATTATACCTATTAATAATTATAATGATACTATATTATATTAACATACATCTAACAATTTTTTAGATTATTATAACAATGAAAAATTTAGTAAAAAAATTTCACAAGTAGAAATTAAAAAAAATTAAACTGATAAAAAAATTAACTTCCCTGTTTAAAAATACTGATTGAAAATAATTAAAAAACATGAAATTCGAATTTTTTTTCAATAATTTCAATTCTTTTTTTTTTGTATATATAGGTATACAATTTGCATGGAGTGACTGCTTTTAAATTTTTTTCAATGAGTATTCTTAACCAGGGTTAACTCAAGAGCCAAAATCTTGAACCAAGAATACTATTTTGAAGAAAATGATTTTCTTGAATATTAAACAAAAATGCGATTAAACAAAAATGAAAAGATACCCTTTTGAAACTTAACTCCCCAATTATCCTTTGTCTAAGAAAATTTTCTTGTTTCAAAAATTTATTCTCTTGACTCAAAAAAATCATTTTCTTCAAAGTGGTATTCTTGGTTCAAGATTTTGACTCTTGAGTCAAGTTAATTTTTTTATCAGTGTATCAGTGTATCACGAATTTAAAAAAATATTTTTATTACAAAAACTGTCAGATGTCTGTTAATTTCAGTACTATTAATTATAAAATATTACCTTGAATTTTTTAACCCTAGATATCTTTGTAGGACAACACCAGTAGCCAAATCAATCATTCTCAAACCGTTATCACGTGAGTGTACCAATAATCTAGACCCCAATGGATGTAATACAATAGTATTGATGACAACATTTACTATTTCACGTATTTTTATTTTACGCAAGATTTTCCAGTCTCTAAAACCTCCTTTTTTCTTTTTTAAGGTCCACTGAATAATAATACCAACACTGTCAGCTGTGAGAAGATCACCGTCATTTAAAAAGCAAATATCATTGACAAAACCATCATGTGTCTCAAGTTCTTGTATCAACTCGTAATTATTATTATTATTATTTTTACGTGACCAAACTCTGGTTACGTGATCATAACAACCTGTTATAATTATTTGATGTTTAGACGGTTGAAATTTACCGCAATAGACATAAGACGGATGAGGTAGCATATTTATTTCGTTGATTAATTTATTTTCAACGTCCCAAACTCTCGCTGTTTGATCTGACGAAACTGAGAGCAAATAATTATCCGTATGGGACCAATCAAGTGCATAAATGAAACTTTTGTGACCAGAAAATTTGACAAATATTTTTTCATCATCTATTTTCCACACTGTTATCGGATAATCGTATTCTTCACAATTAACGCATGCCAAGTACTTGCCATTATTGCTGAAGCAAACGTAAAAACATCCATTGTCGCTGACCTCGGTTTTTAAAAGTAATTCATTAGGTATTTTACATGATTGAGCTGCTAGACGACTCCACCTTGAGATATTAACGATTTCCGTATTTACAACGGACTTTGGTGGTTCCGTTTGTTCATCAGAGAACTCATCAAGCGTCAACTGACCATAAAAAATCGGCTCCAGTTTTGGTGGTTCTACTGAAGTAATAGTTACAAATAAAGTACTGGGATACTTATCGCGAGAACCGGATTTCCACCAACTATAAGGCTCACATCGATGTCTGATAGACCTTCGTGAATTCCTCTTTGGTTTATATAACTGGAGTCGTACAAATTTGTCAATATGAGTGACACCATTTGCCCCTACTGGTTTTAAAAATGCCCAAGCTATTTTATACCAACAGTTTTCACCACCTGTAAAATTTTAAATGTTAATAAAAAATCATTTTTACTGAATAATAATTTATAAAAAATTACCAAAATGATCGTATGTATAAGAAGCCTCAGCAAAGCTTGGAAGATCAACAATTTCAAAGAGAATTAATTTTTGATGATTATCCTGATTAACAATATCATCAAAATCATACTCAAAAACTAATTCTTCTTCCCAGGACGGTACCATAGATTTATTTTCTCGAAAGTCAAATGTCCCGGTTATCAGCGGTTGTAAATAGCTCTTGGAGTCTTTGCTTGTCTTTAAATAACTCCCAGTACTTTCTTCCACAACATGAACAATTACCATCGGATGTTTAGTTACATAATCAGCTATCAGCATGTCTGCTCTGTGAATAGTAACTGAAATATACTTAATTTCACGTTTTATTTCTTCTTTTTTCTTTCTAGTCTTCCTGTTTTTACGTTGCGGAGATTTAACATCAATTGACTGAGAACTAATTGTTCCAGATTGCGATCTACTTGAAGATGACTTTAATTTAGATTTCGCATGTTCTTTTATTTTTTTTAACTTATCATCTTCCTTCGAAAAAGCCAAAACTTCAGGAATTTTCGGAATATCTGAACTTGTCGAGTCTTCACCAGTCGATAGATTCTTTCGTCTGGAATGTTTTACACGTTTCTTCTTTTCTCGCGAGGAACTTTTTTTGTGACTTTCAGAATCACGCTCTCGATCGGATACTTTTTGTTTGGGTAAAAATGTCTCTTGATTAATTTCTTCAATATCTGATCTATCGGTAAGTCTCTCAACAGATTTAATAACAGGCTTACTTTCAAATTTTTCGCATTTATTTTCCGCGGGTTTGATTTCAATTTTAGTATTTTCTACTGTCCCAAATTCTGTTTCAACAACCAGAACTTGATCTACATAATCATGATCCGATTCAAATCCTCCATTATTTTCTCCTAATTCATCATCACATTCAATATTCTCTTCGTTGATAAATTTATTAAGCCGTGGGGCTGGAATAGGTTTTTTTGTTCTTGACTTATCGATCCAGGAATTACTTCTTTCTGAGACACTAGACGAAGACACGGATTCTTTTCGAGGAATAACGATGTTAGCATCTTTAGACCAACGCTTTCGTTGCTTCTTCACTGAATCAACCAAACTCTCTTGTGTCATCTTGTCTAATGGCTTTTGAATACTATTAGAATGATAAGTCATGTCCGGTTCTGTTTCACCATCCTTAAAAGCCATTGTGTCGATAACAGTTTCTTCAATTTCTTTAGGTGACTTGCTAAAATTCTCGCGATGGATATCTACCACGACGATATCGGGCTTCGATTCTACGTCATTAGAACGTACACGCTCAGATCTTTTTAATTTACGTGATTTTCTCGCACTTTTATCCATATTATTTTCACTATTTTCATTTTTATCAACAATCTCTTGAATTTCATCATCTTCCATTCCTTTTTCGTTAACGAGATTTTTTTTTGACCCAAAATCAACATCTGAAGACCAATCAGAACTACCTAGAGCTTTAGCACGTTTCATTTTACCAAGTATTAATTTTTTTTTATTAATTACTTCTCTTTTATTACTTTCATCATTTAATTGCAGCGCGTTATTGTCAACTTCTTCATTTAACTCTTGCGTTGACTGACTCAAATCTTTACGAAAAGCAGCGCGAAATATTCTCTCCATTTTACTACCAATTCCACCAAATTTACCACTCAAACCCGCACTACCAGTATTAACTTCTTCTATTATATCTTCACTATTATTTCTCGCTCGTTTTAACATTGTGGATTTATTTGTAAACTTTTTGACAGTTGATTGTATGAACGTTGTTTTTAGACAATAATGACAGGTGCGCTACAACAGCTGCTTACTGTTACATTACGAAACTCGTAACCATGCAACGTAGAATCAATATTTTTCATGTATGTATATACAAATACAACACACAAACTTACATATGAATATTTCGTATGATTTTGTCAAATTAATCGCAATGTTAGTTGTTTTTTATTTATTAAAAAAAAAAAAATTTTATACTTTTAACGGTATCGATTTTTGTGGAATATTTTGATAGTAAATTTTTTTTTTTTTTAAATAATTAATTCAATTAAATCGATTTATATATTTTTATTCACCATTAATTATAATTACAAAAATTTTAGTTATTTACATACAAAATAAAAAAAAAAATTCAAGCAGTCGCTCCATTAGCGAAATTATTATTGTCATTATCATCCATCATTGCGAATCGCGCTGACTCCTGAAATTAATTAAATACTATTAATTGGATACAAAAATAAATGACACAAATTTTCCAATAGTTGACAAATTCAATTAATTATTTTTTTTTTTTTATTGAAAAAATTTAAATGTTTATTAATTTGCCCTGTGTGAAATAAATTAATGAATAATTTTATTATTTCACTAAATTAAAGAATCGAATTATTCAACCACTGTGATATTTGATACATAATTTTTCGTACAGCTTCAATTGCTGATTCGTATTCCTGTTCACATTGAATTATAGCAGGATTATTAGCATCTACAGTTTTAGAATTTTTTCTGGATCCTCTTGTCCCATCTGCATCAACTTCAACGCGATTTGATTTCATTTTTAAGCGAATCTCACGATTTTTTGCTTCAATAACTTTTTCTCGCCTTGTCTCTCGGTCAATGAGCTTGGAAATATATTAAAATACATAAATACAACCATTATATAAATCATGAGTAACTATAGTACTAATTACGTAATTTTAGTGTTCTAAATATTAAAAAAAGGTGGTATAATTACGGCTGTAAATAAAAGTTTATCGTTTTTCTGATTGACAGTAAGTGTTTCTGAAAATTCCAGTAAATAAGTTGTGCCATTTTTACCAGCCACTGCTGCTAATTGCCCTTGCTCATGTGGATTTACGCACGTCAAACTATCGTCACAAACCTGAAATAGATTTTGTTAAATTAATTATAATTTATTATATTATTTCGTAGTTATGTACATTAATTATTAATATAGTATATTTTATTATTAATATTATCTCTACAAACGAAGCGTGTTTTGTTTAAATCAATCATACATTCATATGTCAAATATATTAATATATTATTTTATATTGATTAAATAATCCTTCAATATTTCGGTAGTAATTGAATTAGAGGGTTAATAAAATTGTTTACGTTACTAAATATAGAGAAAACGTTATTAATAATCAACGGTAATTGATTGATTTAGACGCCCGAAATTCTCTCATACATACCAATTAATTTTCATAAAGTCGAAATAATAATTGTAGGTATTATTTATCGTTATTATGTATAATTAAATCTATTTTATTGAGTATCCATGTATATTATAAAGCGATTGACTTATACTATTAATAATAATAATAATACCTTCACACTGAGAACAGGGGAATCTTGCTGTACTAATAAATCCCATACATCTAATGTACCGTCTGCTTTTGTTAAAAAAAATACAGAAAAACGTGTTGTACTCCATGCACCGCTAGTAAGAAGTTCTCGATGCCCGCTTAAAAAAAATTCTATAAATTAATAATAATACACTGAGAAAAAAAATTAACTTGAATCAGGAAAAAATTTTTGAATCAAGTAAAATTGATAAATTAAGAAAAATTTTTTACTTTAAGAATTTTTCTACTCAAATCAAGAAAATAAAGTTCTTCAAAATTATTTATGAAAATTAAGTTAGCCGACATCTAAAAATTTTTAGAATTTTTTTTATTGACACACTTATTACAAAATAATAAAAAAAAAAATTTCATTTGTAAAAAACTGTAAATAGAATTTTTAAAAAATATTTTTTAGTTATTTGATGAATAAAAAAAATATCAAAAAATTAAAAACGTTGGCTAACTTTAGTATTATAAATTATTTACTAGATTCAAACAAATTTTTTTTCCATGTGTAAAATGTAATAATTTTTAAAAATCAAAATTAATTAAATGTAAAAACTCAATGAAAATTAAGTTAGCCGACGTTTAAAAATTTTTAGAATTATTTTTATTGAAAAAATTATTACAAAAAAATTAAAAAAAAAATGTCACTTGTAAAAAAAACTTCAAAAACTATAAGTGATATTTTTTAAAAATAGTTTTTCGTATTAATTTTATTTATTAAAAAAAAATCAAATAATTAAAAACGTCGGCTAACTTTAGTATCATAAAAACTCACGGAGTCCATGTGATACAAGATTCACGGCAATCTTCAGACCAAATTCTAGCAGCCCAATCCCCGACGGTTAAAAAATTTTTAACAAACGTTGGATTTCTCAATACAGAAATAACAGGTCCGTACTGAGCACGAAAGCGCGTTGCGATTTTTTCACTTGGTGTTTTACCTTTCCGATTGCCTGATATGACGATACCATTTTCAAGGCCACACATAAATCGTGTACCCAGTGAAGATTCAAATTGCAATGTTGTTACTCCAGTAGCACGCTCGATATCCTGCTCTTCTGGTTTAACTAGATCAATAATCAATGTATCCATAGGTGCTTGAAGTTTCCTTGTGTCCCACCATTTTATTTGACCGTCTCTGGATGAACTGAAGAACTCGGTTCCTGTTTTGGAATTTATCCACAGAACTTTATTACAGGCGTCACGGTGACTATTCTCGACCAAGCTTACATCAACAGGTTCATAGCCACGTCGCAGATCCCAGCTCGCTACTTGACCTGATATTAATCCACTTATCAGCGTATTACTGTCTTTAGGGTTGTACTCTGTTGCGACTATTTGACACAATGGTTTTAGAGTCATTAATGGAGTATTTGGATTCTCTGAAATTAATCATTGTACATTAACAAATTATACGAAATTAATTAACATTAAAAAATCATTTTCACCGTAATTAATTTTCATAAAACAAAATATTTAAAAAAAAAACTCGCTGTTCATTATTATCTCTTGAATAATTAAGTAAAAAATGAAACCGATTCGTTCATTAATTTGAGAAAGCATCGATTACCAATTTTATTTTTTCCAATAATATCAAATATCTATAAACTTTTTACGTACATAAATAAAACTGCTTCATAGTCTATTTCTTACTGTTCAAGTTTTTATTATAATAAATTTATAACTATTTTATAAAAACAAATTTCTTGGTAGATGATGAAAATACTGTAGTTAAAAAAAAAAAAAGATTTTCATAAAAAAAGTTTTTTTTTTTTATTAAAAGAAAATTAATACTACCATTGTAATTATCAAAATTTCGCCGACTTTTCGACATATACACCGAAAAAAAAAAATTATTTTAAAAAATACGGGCATTCTTGTGAAAAGAAATTAATTTGTTAAAAATTTTATTTTTTAGCTGAAGTAATTAAAATTTTTCTCACTTTCTAGTTGGAAAAAAGTTTTTTAGATTTGAAAAAAAACAATTTTAGATAGACAACTTAGAAAACTTTTTTTCAACAAAAAAATACTGTTAGACAATTTTAATTTCTTCAGCTAACAAATAAAATTGTTGAAAATTTCAAAAAAACTAATTTCTTGTCACAAAAATGTTTATTTTTTCAAAAGAAATTTTTTTCTGCCTTCCGGCCGGAAAGTGGCAACTTTTTGGCCGCTGCGCTAAACGAAGTTGCCACATTCCGGTTACGTCGAGCAGAAAAATATTATTATTAATCCCCGGCTCGAATTTTGCTCGCCGGAGTCCGGGGTTCTAAACAGGGATCACGTCAAAAACATCAAGACATAAATAAAACACTTCGTTTTTAATTAGCAAATCAAAGAAAATAAAACCCCTTTATTGGCCTGATCAACAGTTTAACAAATAAACAATAAATAATATAAACAAATACAATAGAACACTCTATCCACACTTATACGACGGTGTTCGCACGGGGAGTCGTGCTTTCGTCGGACAGGTACACGGCACTTATCTCAATACTTTTTTTTTATCAGAGGGCAGTTTTTAACAAAATTGAAACTAAAAAAGGAAGCCTGGCTACTCGGTTTGAGAAAAAGAAAAAATGAAGATGAGAATTAATAAAGATGAGTCAAGATTGTGGGCACAAAAATATAATCCCTCATAATTTATATTATGACTATTTGAAGGAAGAAAAACTTTTGTTTTAATTTTTGTTATTTATTTGAACAAAAATGAATCCAGAAGAAACATCAACAAATAATGCGTATGATAATTGTTCGGCATGCATGATTTCGGAATAAACGCTAATTCGGCAGCGGCGAAATGAGCCACTGAATTAAGGTTTCACTAATTATTTTTTAGAGAGTAGTGGTTAATTTGAATCTTTTAATACATAAGTTTACCGACTGCTAAAAGGATTACAATTTTCATGTCATTAAAGATAGCCGACGTTTTTAATTGTTTGATTATTTTTCATTTATTAAATTAGAACTAAAAAATACTTTTAAAAAATTGCACTTATAGTTTTTCAAGTTTTTTACAAATGAAAATTTTTTTTTATTTTTCTGTAATGATTTTTTGGATAGAAAAAAATTCTAAAAATTTTTAGATGTCGGCTAACTTAATTTTCATACAATTTTCAGAAAAAAAAAACATGTTTAACAATCAAGGTCAAATTCAAAGAAGAAAATATGAATTTAAATTCTCAAGAAGACGCGACTTACCAATATCCCAAACGTAAGAAAAGTTGCTGTGAATAGTAGATTTTTTAAAGTCTCTATTACAATAACTGACAACCATTCGTGTACCTTGATCTGGTGACCACGAAAGATGAGTGATTGGCCGTTTTACCGGTATTACATCTCGGTAAACATTAACAGTACGCGAAAATGTTCTTTGGACTAATGGTACTGCCTCTGTGTCATTGAAATATTGCTCATAAATATTACAAGCATTATTCTGAAGAATACAGTGTTCCATTGCCTAAAATATGTATTTTTTTAATTAAATATGTGATTATAATCACTATTTAAGCTTGGCTAAAAAGACAATATAATTACGGGTAATAATTGTAGCATTGTATGAATATAAAGTTCGTCTTTTTCAACTTTACGTCTATAGCGAACAGTTTGTTCTATATCATACATATTTATATCTTTAGGCCATCCACCTTCAACATGATGTAGCCCGGCTTCTTTAAAAGTCGCAGTCGTTGTATTTACCTTTTCAATTATTATGATTTTTATTTAATTTTACAGTGAATTTTTTCCTTTAAGTAACAAATTTAATATAAACTACCTCATGTACGCTGAAATTTTTACTGCATTGTGTAGTACGAGTTACTGGATCTACTCGTATGTAATCACGCATTAATGATTTGTCAGATTTAATATCTACTTCTAGTTTATTGTGTTCCGAAAAACTGTACCACTTTCCGAATTGTGAACGTGTCTTCAAATAAGCAAACTGAGTATTTTCTAATTTCAAATCCATTTTTTATTTTTAAAATATATTTTCCACTGGAGATTAATTTTACCGTATTTGGTTCTTGCAAACTTATATTAAATCAATAAGTCTAACATCCATGGAAACTTACTTACGATATTTACTTTCAATTTGAATAACAATGGCTAAGTTAATAATGGTTATTATTTAAAATAAATATTGTAAGAAAGAAAAATTTTAAAGTAAAAGTAAATTCAGTATTGAAATATTTTTTTTTTTTTTTTTTTTTTTTTTTTTTTTCAATAGAATTTTTATGTTTATTAAAACTCTTTATTCGATTTTAGTTTTAAGTATAGTGAAAGTAATTTTTTTTATTTCTATATACTGCCATAAACTAACAGAACATAATAAAATAGTTAATTTCATTCTCCAATGACTTTCATAATTATTTTTTATTTGCTCAACGGTATATAAGCATTCATAAATACATGTAAAATCTATATTATAACTATATTCATATTCATACAAATATCTATGTATGTATGTCAAGTTTATAAACTAATTTGTGGACGAGTTTTATACTCACAATTTTATTTATTGCTACACACTTTTTATATAAAATAATTATATGCTATAATTATAAGTTGGTGTGAGATAATAACTTGATTATATTACAAAATACTTTCTGTTAACTCTCGCGAAATAAATAATATAAGGTTTTATAATTTTCATATAATTTAGGATTGCATAAAACACAAAATTTTTTTGTTTTATCTTTGCGATATTTATTTTTAAACTATCACTTTATTTAACAATAAAAGTACATTCTTCATAGAATATGATTAATAAATAAACAATTTATAACTATAAAAAATATATAATAATAATAATAATATAGTTTGTACAGAAAATATGTACATAAATGACTAATCAATCAATTTTTCCCTTAATGATTAACGAGTGCTTCATAAAACTTTTTCGCAGTAATTTGTGAAATACTTGAATCACAATAAATATGACAGCTGCATAAAAAGCTAGTACATCCACTGAGTAATATCGTAAAACACCCATAAATCTGTAAATAAAAAAAAATAGATTAATTTTATCGTTAAAAATTTAATTCATATGCAAATAAATATATTTGTTTGCCTCGATGAATTAATTCTTTTTAATCCTGTGACATTTTAATAAAGTATTTAATTTATTTAAACATTATCATTTATTACAGTATGACATTTTGAGAATAATTTATCGAGGATAAACGTGTATCAAGAATAAAGAATAATAATAATAAATCAATATAAATCCAAACCTGCTAGGGCTTTTTAGGTGATCAGCTCCTCGGTGTTTAGCAACGTGTTCAACCCACCAAGTCGCTACTTCATTAGATCCCAAAGGCTGATCCTTTAATAAAATACTCCTACGTCTAGCAGCTTCTTTGTAAGGATTATTACGTTTAGCAGCTACTTTAAGTATAGCTTCATGCAATTCATTAATGGAGAGACTTGCGAGGTTCATTACAAGAGCGTATCCCAATTTTTCTGATAACAAAATTAAAAATAGCAACGTTATAGTAATAATAATCTATATTATTAAGAGAATAAGAAAAATTTTGTGGCCAGTGTATTTATATGATAAAATGGATTTTGATAGTTAAATTTGGTATCATTAGAAAGGTTTTGGCCTGAGGTTGTGCCTTTTTCAGGTTTCATATCATTCTCACCAATAGTAAATTTATGGTGATAAGTATTTAGGCTGCATTTGAAAATGATCTATCTTTAGATACATAATTAAGAAATAACCTTTTATCTTGTGAAATATTGATTTTTTTAAAGATACAAAGGGTGGCGCAAAAAACCGACTATTTTTTTTTAAGAGGTCGCTCCAAATTTTTTTAAATTTCAAAAATCGTCAAAAATTGAATTTTTTTTTTTTTTTTTATTTTTTTTCTCGTTACGTCATAATTTTATAGACCAAAAAAAAAGATTTTCCTGAAATTTTTTTTAAATTTATTAGTTGACTATTTAATTGGATTAGCATTTTTTGACTTTGAAATTAAAAAACAATTATGAGCGACCTATCAAAATTTAAATTTTGAATTGAAACTTTCAGAAATTTATTTTTTTTGGTCTATAAAATTATGTCCAAATTTTTTAAATTTCAAAAATACTTTGTTCAAAATTTGAATTTTTTTTTTTTTTTATTTTTTTCTCGTTACGTCATAATTTTATAGACCAAAAAAAAAGATTTTCCTGAAATTTTTTTTTAAATTTATTAGTGACTATTTAATTGGATTAGCATTTTTTGACTTTGAAATTAAAAAACAATTATGAGCGACCTATCAAAATTTAAATTTTGAATTGAAACTTTCAGGAACTTATTTTTTTTTGTTCTATAAAATTATAACGTAACGAGAAAAAAATTTAAAAAATTTTTTTTTTAGTTGTTCTTTGGAGAGGGCTCTTAAAACATAAAAAACTGACATTTTTTCACTCGAGACTCAAAAAAAAGAATAGTCAGTTTTTTTGCGCCACCCTAATATGTACATATGAAAAATACATAGAAATGCGTGTGGGTACTCAAATGAAAGCTCTCGATGAGTGTAACATCGGGATGAGCTTATATCTTTAAAAAGGTCAATAATAATTGAAAAAGTACAGTGCAATTTAACAAAAGTCACTATTTAATAAAGCAAAATTTTATTAATTTATAGTTGACGAGTATTATAATAAATAATTATTAATAATTGTGTTTTTACCAGCTTGAGCAGCATTTCCATCGTGATCGCAAAAAACTGGGAGCACAAGAGTCGGTGCTGCATGATACGCAGCCTCATGAAGTGATAATAATCCACCGTGTGACACAAAAGCACGTAATTGTGGATGTCCAAGTAATTCTTGTTGCGGCCACCAAGCACCAGTTCTGATATTACTAGGCAAATTATTTATTTTACTGCCTTCCCACTTCCAAATAACATTAAATGGCAATGTTGAAAATGCAGCTATAAAAATTTCACGCAGTGTATCTGGCATACCAGCGGCACGTACTGATGAACCCATTGAAACGAAGATGAATCCTTAAGATGATAAATTTAAATGAATATTTTTATTATTATTAAATTTAAAATTACCATTACAAATTATTGCTATTTAAATGAAAATACAAGCAAGTATATCTACATTGTAAATAGTTTTGTTATAGCCTTTTTGTCTTAATGGATTATTATTTAAATGTTAAACGGCATAACTAAACCTCAAGCGCTAATTGAAAAACTGTATTGAAATAAAAAATTAAACAAGTTATATTTTCTCAGTAAAATTACGTAGTTAATGTTACATATTTGAATGTCAAATGTATAATTCAAAAGATATACCTTTGCGAAGAAATGATTCCAAGTCGGGACTTAATTCCATTGCTGGGCGACAGTGAAGACAAGCAACGTTCACTACATTTGGTAAATACGGCATTGATTCGGCTACTGAATAATGACTATTTTGAAAAGTCAAAGACACTTCAGATATTAATTCTCTTACATCCGGTACTTGGTCGCCTGTAATAAACAAATGAGATATTAATTTATGAATGGGTTTGAAAGAAAATAATATATTGATTTATCCTAAAATAACGGTTTTAAAAGCTTACACTCGTATATAGTTAGTAGTATTTCATCATATGTTTAGATTTCATCACTATAAACAGAATGAATTTGTTTGAAACAAAACATTCCGAGCATATTCTCCATGAAAAAAAAAAAAATATAAATATAAATGATATATATTTCGAAATATATGTATAAAAAATATATTAAAAATCTATAAAAAATATATATAATAAATATATTTTTAATAACTAACTTTTGGCCGATTTTCATATATATTCAAAATATGTTTTTTTTTTTTTTTTATATCTTTAGCTATGTATTTTTTATGTATTTTAAAATATATCTTGAATATAT